CATCTGTGTAAATTATGAATATCTGCCTGCAGCTGCATAGGTTTATTCTCTCTAGGCTGAGCAACTTCAAGGTGGACAGTCAAAAACTTCTTGGATAAACCTATTTTACAACTTATAACAAAAATTGTGCTGTTATGTCATTGTTTTTCCACCTTCCCAGACAAGCCAAAAATCTGGTTTGCATATTTTCTACTCAGGCTCTTCAACGATTTCAGTGCCATAGGTGTCCCTTTTTATCGCATCATGATGTTGTGTATCGTGCAGCCAGCTGGCAGAGAGAGAGACTGTACAGCGAGCCAATGTCTGACTTTGTGCTTGCAGAATTTCACATTTCCCCAGTGTGTGACTTTATTACATAAAGGTATGCAGTGAAGTCAGTCAATTTGTAGGAATGCCTTTCTGTCATTAAGCCGAGGTGCTGTTTGCGGTTGACTAATAAAACACTGAGGGACCCCTGTAGGTTGTTATTGAGTGCTTTTAAGCTATAATCTCTCCCATCTTTCTGCCTCTCTCCCTTCTTTCCTCTCTTCCATCTTTTTTTCACTCGCTCTGTGACATCACTGTCTGGCTTGGCAGGATGGAAAAATTATTAGCTTTGGAATTAGATGTGGCTGTGTGTTCATAGTCGCACATAGCCGACATGCCTCCCTGCTAATGCACACGCACCCACACATTTCCACACTCTTGTGATTTGTGAGCGTGCAATTCAGCTGCACTCAGACAAGCTCCTGCTCACACACAAGCACACACAAGCACACACACAGACAGTGAGGCAGTAATATGTGGGTTGTGGAAATGCAAGTTTCTTTGATTCCATCCTTCCTGAAGAAGCCAGCTCATATTTCTGCCGGGTAGTGCCCCCTACTGAGGTTGGAAAGAGTGACTGAGCGTGTGAGTGTGTGTCTGTGTGCATGTACTATCACCAGTTGTGCATACAATGAGCTCACTCATGGCCCAGACTTAACCTCACCCTCCCACATAACTGATGCACCAGCTGTGTGTAAATTCAAACTTAGCCTAGTTAAAATGTAAATTATTGTTATCATTTATAAATTACTAAAATAAAAGCAGTTGCACTACATAGATGAGTTACAATTTAACTCTAAGTAACAACTAAATGCCTAAGGTGGCGTAAATTGTAAAAAAAACCATTTAGCTTACTACGATGTGCTATGAAGCCAAGTGGCTCATGCCAGCCAGAAAGCTAATGCGCACAGTAACCATGGCGATGGAAAAATATCTTTGATTGTTGATTGGCCACTTGTCTTAGTTATGACTTTACATTCAAACTATTCAAGTTATGTCAAGTTAATAGCTTATGAGAGAACTTACACATAGCTGGTGCAACCCAGTCCAGGAGGCATGTATGAGTGTGACTGAGAGAAAAAGACACAAGTTGTGCCCCCAGTTCATTTATTGTGGTGCATTCACACCGTACAAATTTAAAATGCTTTGCTTGATTTCTAAATGTGGTGTCGCTGGATGCCATTGTGCCACAATGCATTGCACACAGAGACTTGCAGCTGGAAAAAATTGGGAAAATGGCAGTTCCAGGAACATCTTGGTAAACAAAACATTTTGCCCAACATTTAGTTGGAAGTCAAGTCAGTGTATTTATAATTATTATGGCAAATGTTACCAAAAGCGCTTAATAGAGAATTTTGTTTCGTAATTAAAATGAAAATAAACAGTTAAATAGCAAAACTGGAAGTACAGCGTTCTTTAATATCCATTGGTGCACACTTTGTTTCATTTCTTGTTAGAATAAAATGCTAATGTGCCAAAACAGTACTGTATGCTATGTTGGCAAATGTAGTATATGCTTTATTTGGTTATTTAGAAGAACGTGTTTGTTTGTGTGTAAATAGATGCTTTCAAGGGACCTTAAAATACCCCCACTACAGTCCACTACAAGGTTAAGAGCTCCTGACCTGCTGCATTCATGCTCTATTTGTTCAGTAACTAAGTTAGGCTACCTGTCAGGCTGGGCAAGCTGAGAACACCCTCAGCTCCTAAATCAGATGTGTACAAAGTGGCAGACGAATACACCGGGGGATTTAGACATGACAAGAGAATGAATTGCCCTAATAGACTAGCCCTTCTCCTCAAACAAGCTGCCTCGGTTTCAGTGCAAACACCACCGGTCGCCATTCACCTTGAGGTGCAAGGAAAGTGGTCATCTCTCACACTGGACACTGTGTGTGTGTTTGTGTTTTGCAAGGGCGAGTATGTTCTGACCTTGTTTGAACATCTTTAGGTCCTAGTAAACAGATAAGCCACTCAGATCTATAAATAGTCTGTTTCCAATGGTGTGAGAAGACTTTCTCTGTCTTCGGGCCCTGTTTTTGGCTTAGTCCGTGTTTGTCTGTCTTCCCTCAGGTAAAGTGAGAGCACAACAGCTGCCAGAACGTGTTGCTTTTTCCACGTTCTCAGGGGATCACTGCTAAACAAGAACATGGGAGAAAAAAACTAGCTACAAGTGGTGGAAAGTTTGCTTACACGGTATAAATGTTGAGTACCAAAACATCCCACTCGACCAGAAATATAGCTACCTTGCTAAAGTTTGAAAGATTTGGAAAGAAATAATGGTGTAAAGGTCTAGGCCCTAGTTCTGCTAAAATAAACTGTAGCAAACTCTAAATGTACTAGAGATAAAACAATAACTAGGCTCTGACAAAGTTCCTGTCTGGTGCCAGATCTCACTCCAATTTAATTAGGATTACTGGGATTGCTGGCAGAAAATGGACTATGAAAAACAGGAAAAAAATGACTTATGTCTACTTAATTATATCAGATAAAGCTGCACAGGATTAACAAATATTAATTTCCCCCAGATCTCCATGGGTCAGATGCTGCAGGAGTTTGGAAAGTTTTTGGGCCTCTTCCTGCTGGTGTTATTCTCCTTCACCATTGGACTCACCCAGCTTTATGGAAAGGACCAGAAAGACCCAGACAAGAATCCACCCATGGACTGCGAGGGCATATTCTGCCAGCAACAGAGCAATGATGCATTCCACACGTAAGGGCCAACCTCAGTCTGTCATTGTGGACAGCGATGACGGCAATGATAAATGTTCAGAAAGCTTGTTGAGAGATGTTAGAGATTTTATATATACGCGGCTGTATAAATACAGCTGAGAAAGTCATAAAAGTTTTTCTGTTTTTATGGTTCAACTCTCATCATTAGAACATAATTTTTCTTGGTTTATATTGTGAAATGCATGACAGACATGTTCCCTAAATGCCCACTCACGTCTACCATCTTCATCCATTTTACAGGTTTATGGGGACCTGCTACGCCCTCTTCTGGTACATCTTCTCCCTGGCACATGTTGCCCTCTTCGTCACCCGCATTAGCTACACAGAAGAACTGCGCTCTTTCGTGGGTGCCATGATCATAGGCACCTACAACATTGTGGTGGTTATTGTGCTGACCAAGCTGCTGGTGGCCATGCTCCACAAAAGCTTCAGACAAATTGCTGTAAGTATAAACAATATTTAGCACAGAATAACTTTGTTTCTCAGCTCTGTCGAGGGTAATTTGAGTTCAACTCTGGACCGAAAAATGCAACTGTTTTCATTTACTGTCAAGATTAGATTTTTTTTTGTTTTCTCTAATTCACCCTGAAATGTTACACAGATGTTAAATTGTTTTGTTTTTTTTCTTCTTTGGAACCCTGCTGTACATTTATTTTCTCCTTCCTTTGAGCAAAGGTTTGATTTTGATTACGCTAAGTAAAACAACTCATTGTCCAGGTTTAGCATTTTCAAGATTCCTCTCTGTGTGTGAAAGTTCATTCTCACATTCCTGAGTTCTCAATGTTCTTGTTGGCTTTTGGGCTTCTGTAGAATCACGAGGATAAGGAGTGGAAGTTTGCCAGGGCCAAACTGTGGCTTAGCTACTTTGACGACAAGTGTACCCTGCCTCCACCGTTCAATATTCTCCCCTCCCCAAAGACTGTCTGCTACTTGGTGACCAGCATGAGCAAGTGGATCTGTTCGCACACTTCGAAGGGCAAGGTGAAGAGACAGAACAGTCTCAAGGTATGAAAAATGAATTGTAGGCTTACAATAAATTCTGGATGGCCATCTGTGCTTTGTGCAATATCTTGTCATCGATCTGAATTCCTTCGCTGCCTTTTCCATCCAGGAATGGAAGAACCTGAAGCAGAAGCATGATGAGAACTACCAGAAGATAATGTGCTGTCTGGTTCACCGCTACTTGACCTCTACGCGGCAGAAGATGCAGAGCACAGACCAGGCCACGGTGGAAAATCTGAACGACCTGCGCCAAGACCTCTCCAAGTTTCGCAATGAGATGAGGGACCTGCTGGGCTTCCGGACCTCCAAATATGCCATGTTCTACCCAAGGAGCTAAAAAAGACTAGATATTTCTCCCCCCCCCCCCCTCTCCTTTTGACAAAACCTCTGCTTCTCATTTATCTGGGATGCCGTGTGACCCGAGCATGTGATAAACTCTGCTCCATTAAATCACAGAGGCTATTTTAAAACCTGGAACTTAACTAGAAACATATATATTACCCACCAAAGCCTCCAGACTCAGGCCCTCCTATGTATTATTCAGCTATTCTACCTTTTTGTAAATAAAGAAAGCCATTGTTTTCAAAAGAAAGACAAATAAAGATTTGTGGAAAAAAATGACCCCGTGGGGCTTTAATGGCATAGAGTGCTGACTTTAATGAAGTGCTGCTTTTGAGATTTGAAGTTACTTGTTGATTTCTCTTCTTGAAAACTGATCTTTGGCCAAAAAACTGTCAACTGTGCAGCCAACTACCCAGTGGTCCAATCCATGTGAGAGTCACATTACACACACCTGATCCATTCTTTTGCTTAGTCGAGCATAGCTGCCTTGACTCGCTCTCAAGAGACCAATTCAAATACTATTTGTTATTGTTTGCTCTCCAGCGGAATTTTCTTGTACAAAGATAGACAAACAAAAGTTAAATCTTAAAGGAGTTTTATTTGGGCAAATTAAAACAATAAAATATAAATAATATTCACAGACTTTTTCATATGAAAATATTTTTCATTTCATACATTTGCCTTTAAAAACAATGTAGGTAAATGATGTATGCTGATGATTGTGCTTTGCATCTGTAGGCAAACTGAAGAAAAGAGCTTTAGCTACGTAGGTCCTCATTTGTTTCACATAAAACCAGCATACAAATCTATTTAAAAAAAGAATTGTGTATATATTAAATATTGCACTTTTTATTAAGACTTAAATACGTCCTAATCCTGCCCATTGAAACTGAACACAGAAAATGAACTGCAAGTTGTTAACACATGATTAAAACTACAACAATCAGCTGTGACAAATCCCCTATGGATAATAATCAGGCTTGTGAAATTTAAGACTTTTCTGCCAGACAGATATATTTGTTTAATGCATACTAAATAATAAATCCCACTGTTTATTCACATTGCACCCACTGTCTAAAAGGGAAACTACTGAAAAGTAGAATATGGAAAAATTTGACATTAACAGTGCAATCAAAAGACATCAGAACAGATGTGCACACTGAAAATTTTAAACAATCTGATGAATGTTTGTCTTATGAATGTCTCTCTGAATTAATATACTCCATATTCTGGGCTCCCGTTACTGGCTACAGTTTAATTCCCTGCTAGGGGCATGACAGGAATGTGACTTAGCGGAGTGAGAATGTGCTGAGAATAGGGATGGAAATTTCAACTCATTTTGTTGCTGATTAATATGAGGTTGCCAAACAGATTAAGCGACTGGTCTTTTAATAGAAGACAGAGTAGAAGTACTTAATGTCTTTTTGTTTACTCCAAAAATCATGCAATCCACAGCAAAATTAATTTACAAAAATCTGCGTTTCCCCCTAATTGAATGAATCATGTAGATTTTATGTTTTGCACTGGCATTTCTGCATCCAGATTCAGTTTTGTTATTGTTTAATTATTTCCATCCAGAGCTGAGCCTCTGGCACACCTCCAGTCCAGTGGAGATCCTCAGAGCTACGGGAGATCAGCACCGCTTGTTTTTCAGAACGTTGAGTCCTTTCTGGTTCTTTGTCTTAAACGCCATAACAAAGTGGTGAGGGGCGATTTTCCCCCGACCGTCCTCATCCACGTGGCCCATGAAGATGTAGTTCAAACCTGGTAAGGTCACACACAAAAAACCTGAATGCAGTGGCGGAACGGCAGAGACATTCAGGGAGGCCAAATATCAGAATCTCCACACGGGCAGGTCTGTACCATATGTTTATATGCATACATATAAACATATTTAATGTTTCATTGACTGTTTGGACAGTGAGTTCTGCCGCTCACCTCACACTCAGGGGGGCGCTCTATCGACTGAGCGCTACGGCACAGCAAAAGGAGGCAAACTCAGAGCCATAGGTTATTGAAAACAGTCAACCAGGAACTGCGTACTGTGTCATCATTAAGATAATGATCTTTTTTTTCTGTCACAGTGAATTCATACATCAAACAAAAATAGTCAATTTAATTTCACCAGTGAACTCACCTCTTCTGATAAATGGACACTTCTTGCACAGGATAATGATCTTGGTGCTCATGGTCTTTCCTGCCTGCTGGATGGCCAGACTGCCTTCTTTATACACGTTGATGATAGAAACAGTGGCATACATACTTCCTCCTCTCATCACCGCAGTAATGACAGTCCCGGTTATCACTGTCATAGACACACACATACACATTAGTAATGAAAAATAAAATAAATCATACAAAAGTACTGAAGGGGAAATGTACTGTATGTTCCCCTCCCTATAATTAGAGTTATAATAATTAAAGTTAACAGTGCCTGTACACACCTTGAGCTAAATGCTAACATCAGCATTGCTCACAATGAACATGCTGATGCGTAAAATATTTATCATGATCACCATCTTAGTTTAGTGTGTAAGCATGCTAACGTTTGCTAATTAGCACTAATTACTGTTTTTGTGAAATGTATGGATCTATTAAATGATAAAGAGGATACATTTGTACTGCTACATCTTTCAATATTTCAAGATAATGAAATACTTCTAATTTGAACATGCTTTTAGATTTATGTATCTATTTTTTTCTGAGAAGTTGACTTTTCTTAGTTTCATCACGCTGGTGACTCTAGAGAAAAAGCCCTGGAGTCAACAAAGTCAGTAGGATTCATCCTAAGGGGTCCAAGAATGCCTGCAGATGCCTGGTTTGGATTTAGAAATGTAGGATTAATAAAAAAAGTATTTACAGACAATGTTAACATCAACATCAAAGAAAAGGGAGCCTGGAATTTACAGTGGGGGATAACATAAAAACAGCTGTAGTGAAGGGAATCTGCTTTTTTATTGTCATCATCAATAAAGAGAAATGTGAACAGTGTGTGCACACTACTTAGTTCATACTCTGTTCTTGTGCAGCCTGTCATGGTAAATTAACAGCATAGCTTCTCAATGGTTCCTTTCAGGCTTTCAACACTCCCCTTTTGACCTTTTTATGGCTTCCTCTCCTATTCATGAGCTAATTGTTCTTTCTAAAAAAAACTCAAGGATATAATTTACTGTAATTTTGTTTGCATGTGAGTCAGCAGGGCAGAGGTCAACTCAATATTATATACAATACAATCTAATATAGAGAACAACTAAGTGCAATTCAAATATTTTTGTGCTTTGGACACTGGTAACAAATCAAGTAAGACCGGAGATTAGAAATGTAAAACTCCTCTTACAGGTTAATTTACCAGAATCCAGAATTGCCACCTTCTGTATCCCACAGTCCCTGTTTTTCTGTTGTTGTGTTTTCTGATTTTGCTACAAAATGCGACAAATCTGCTGGGTGAAGTTTTCAGTCATTTCCTGTTTAGTCTGACCAGGTTTCCAAAAGCACAAAAAAATACAGCTTTGTTGTTTGGACATGGAAGAGACCTGACATTTAGCAGTGACAGCTGAGTGATAGTGGAGCCAGTAGCGCGAGAGGAAATCACGTCTCATTCAACATGAACAGGATTCTTTACACTGATGGTACCAATATGTCTGGACTTCACGTACTGCCTGTTTCATTTCCTGACGGGGATGAGAACAGCCAGAAGACGGCCTGTTTCAGTAATGTTATTGTATCTGGTGCTACTGTAACATAAACCAGTGAACTGCTTTTGACAATCCAAAGAGCATATATCACATGATTAGATTAAACAATACCAACTGCTGTGACTTTAAGTGTTGATTATACAAACTATTTTCAGTCCACTGTCTCGCCACTTCATCAAAATGTGGTGTAACATATTGTGTGCCGACCCCGCCACCACATCACACGGACGACTTTTTCCACATGCACCACCACATCGCTTGCCTTTCCTCGTTTTCCTGATGCAAATCCAAGTGAACTCTTTGAAATGCCAATCTAACACATGTGGTAAACATCTCTGAGAGGAAAACATCAGAGTAGCGGGAGGGTAGCAAACGGAGGCCGAGCCCTAAATCAACACCTTCATTTATCAACAGTTTGCCCACAGTCAGAGAGTGTTTGTGTTTAAACTTGAGGTAACTGTGTCCTACTGTATACGCTCCTTCACTTCCTGACAGGCTGTCAGGGAAGTCTTTGAGATAAGCAGTGAGAAATCAGAGGAGCAAAGATAGTGACATGATCAGGACTGTAAACTGTTTGTTCGGGGGGATTTGGCTACTGATGCTAATGTGGGCTGCGCTGACGTAACTCTTCAAAGAATCTGTACTGTGTAGCTTTGGACCTTTTAGGATTAGTATGTATATAACAGTAGGCAAAGCTGGAACATATTAGTGACTGGAGCTTATGTGGTTTAAATAAATAGTAATAAGCACTGATGTTCTTACCGAAATTGCTGGAGCAGTAATTGCTCTCAAGTGTTCCTCTTCTTTTACATTTCTGCTGGCACAGGGCTACAGAGTACTTCAGAGCTGCAGACACACACACACACACCCACACAAAAGAAAATTCAATATCTGTAATTTTGCCTGTCACTGATGCAAGTATGTAAGTTATGGTTGCATCTGTTTCTACCGTGGTTTATTTACCGAATATTCTCAGTAACACAAGACTCGAAAATGAATGGCTGTCAGCCTCAGAGAGAATATGAGACCGTGTGTAAAATAGCAACGTAATGTGACAAGTGAACATCTGTTTTTAGTGTTAGAGATGGTAAAGAGTCCATAAAGGAAAGAACCAAGAAAATACAAGGTGACTGTCTCAATATTATTCTTACTGGAGAGGGAAAAGTCAGGAAAGATAAGCCAACCAGAAAGCGTTGTCACAGTATGACATCGTGGCAGGGAGGTGCCAAAATAACCTGGCCTGACTAAGGGAAAAAACAACAGTGTGTGGGAATGTGAGTTTTGGAATGAAAATGAGCTGTGATTGTGGATCCTGACACATGCCCACACTGTATATGAACTGTGTTGTGTACAGTTACACAAGAGAAATGTCAGCATAAGAGACACTTCTAGCACATGCTTTGTTAAACATGTGCTGCTCTTGGCTGCAGCTTTAATAGGACCTACAGTCTCCAGTACTGTATGTTCCATATCCACTGTTTAGTTTGATCTGGCCACTTTTACCCATTTTATGGAAACAAATAATTAGTTATTACGTTAGATACTTATACACAAGCACTGTAAAGTAGAATTCTTAACCATAAGCAGTGTACATTTGACTCTTGAAGGAGTTAACTTCGCGTAGTTCTTTTTGTGCCAAGATCTGCTATCAGAAGTCGAGTCCAGATCCCTCTTACGTTTTAAGTAAAAGATCAACCCCACATGTTAGCGAGAGAATCCAGTAGTAAAAAGCCAGCGTTTCTCATAGCTACATCAACAAATACAGATGTTAAAAGTCTTCTGGAGGTTTTTATTGGATAAAAGTTGCTACCTACGTATGGGCCTGGTGGTGACTGGCTGTGTTGTAGTGGTGGGTGGTATCGTGGTGGTGGGGAATTTCTTTGGTCGGAACTTGTAGTGTCCAATGAAGCCATCTGCGGTCAGACTGAGATCTGACAGGAACTGGATTAGGAGCTGGTTCCCCTCTGAGAACACAGGCCTGCAAAGGAACCCAGACAAGAGTGTAAACTGAGAGGAATTCCTTGGATGGGTCTTTTAATGAAAATAAAAATGTTCATGACAGAATCACCTACGCTGGGGGGCTGTCTCCACAGTATTTGCCAATCCTCTTGGCGTCGTTGATTTCTGCCCCGTTGAAAATGGAGACGTGGTCGTAGCGGCAGTAGTTATCTCTTTCAACATCAAACTTCTCAAACTTGACTTCAATAATCTGCAGCAGGAGAAAAATCACAAAGAAAATCTTCTTTCATCAAGCAAGAGCCTGTAATCAGGCTATCAGGGTATGCCGTTTGATTAAAGGGTCTGTCATTTGTGGGATGATTTACTTTTGTTCCACACCCATTACACATTGAGCCGTACTTAAGAGTACTCTGACCATTTAGCATTACACTCTATAATAATGTTAGATTCAGGATCAGTTTAAAAGAAAAAGGATCAAAATGAATAAATAAAGCAGCATCTTTTTTATTTTATGCATTCTTCTTCTTTGTCACAAACCTACATCACCCACAATACAACTTGACCACTGACTGTTTGATTGGAGATTTGGGGTTGTTTTGCTAGTAGAGGCTAATGTGGCCTCGAGCTGCTAACAAAGAAGAAGAGAGACTGCTGTTTTTTTATTTTCCAACTAAGACCCAACCGACTTAAGACATCACTCAAAGCAATTAATGAAACTTTGCACAGCTCCCTCTGGAGGTTAGGTTTTATACAACTTATACAACTTACACAACTAACAAGACCTATAAATAAAACTTTTTTCGTATGAGGTAACTTGTTCCACATGTTGTATGCTTTATTTACGATGAGGTTCATTTATTGAACCACTGATACTGTAATACATCACACCTTGGCACTATTCAGTGTTAGCATGGAGCATCAACAATCGATTGTGGACACATGGATGATTTTTGCGTCTATGTCATATTAACAGGTTAGTGGTTCGATAGGCCTCCTAGAGTCAGTTCCTATCATAACTTTATATATAACACATCCTTTTATTTCAGATTCATTCATTTTGAACATTCTGACCTGGTTCTTTGGTGCCACTATGTGCCAGGAGCAGGTGACACCAGCTGGGTAGTCCTTCTCAGGCCAGTTGGGTGTTTTGAAAGACCCTGAGGGTTTGTCCAATCTGCCTCCACAGTACTGGTCCCCTGTGGAGTAATGACTTAGTTATATCTTGTATAGGCCTCAGGATTAATCTGCAAAATATCATTCCTGTTCTTTAAAGGAAAGGATCCAGATTGTATTCATAAATGCTTTGATGGTGTGTACATTATATGATCCTGCAATTAACCACTTGTCTACTGTAATAGGTGCTCTCATTGCCTTCTTTGTCATTACATGCATCCTAAAAGTCATTCATTAGTCGTGTGCAGTGAACAGTTTAAAAAAGGCAACATGCTTCTGTCAGGCATCTGAGAAACATCAGTTCAATGCTGTTCAGACTGTCAAAGAGCTGAGTCACTTGAAGACGTGTTTCCTTTTTACATACACTTATACTGATGTTTTCCTTTCCAACAAAAGAAGAAATACAGTTCAGTAAGTGACAAAAATAGACACTTAACAAATGCTGTTCTGTTTTGACAACGCTTAGAGACAGTCTGCTTCCATCCATTGTGTAAAAGCCAGGCAGGCTGCTTAATAGCCATTGTCCATCACAGCTGTCAGCTCTTTGGGTACAGAGAACTAGCCATTAAAATTCCACCAAAACAGTACACGATACTTTGCAACCCTGCAGAGAGGAAGAGGCTCATTCAACTCTAAGTGATACTTCTGACCTGTGCCTTCTACTGAAGTGCTCCAAAAAACGTCAGTGAGAAATTCCACATCGTACTGTAAGAAGTGTTAAGATATCCCTCCCTTTAGGTCCACATGCTGGAAACCTTAAACCCATAGCCTTGTCTTGGACAAATTAACCCCCCCCCCCAAAAGGTCACTGGTTTTTACTGAACGGTAGAAAAACTCTGCATGCTCAAAAAGTAATTCACAGTATTATGCAAAAACTGAACTCTACTTAAGGAGGTGAAATGTTTCTCTGTGTCTGGGCATTGAGCTACCATGCAATGACCTCACAGAAGCGACTCGTGTTAAACAACCTTGTTAAAAGACTGACCCTCTAGCAGACACACTCCCAGATTAGTTATCAGATTCCTTTATGGGGTGAAGTCATGGCTGAGACACCGTCCCATGTGGCTCTGTATTACATGCTCGGGTAGTGGCAACATATTCTCTACACAGCTGCTACCTTTCCAACCTTGGCACCTATGTGTAGGACAGGAACAGTAAGCATGCCAAAACTATTCTTCTTCCCATGTTTGCCTACCTCTCTCGTGTGGGTGGGCAGCAGAGAAAACAGCCAGAAAGCCACTCCCAGCGGTGTTGGCATCAGATACCATTTGCATGAGCATCTTGTTGCCCGTGGAAACCAGGGCTCCCGGCTTGAACGTCCCACAAAAGCGACCAAGTCTCTGCCCATTGACATGGCCACTGTAAACATCCACATAGTCATAGCGGCACAGGTTGTCGCTCTCCAAGTCAATAAAGCGGAATGACAGGACCACCACCTTTCCCTCGGGGACCTGGGTGGGAATTAAGGGTCAATTTCATGTAATTATCATTATTACTTAGAGCAATAAAATGTAACAACTCCCATGGATACTGGCTTGTTACTTCACTGATGTCCAGTAAAACAAAGGTTTCCACATGTGACTGCACATTTCCTCACAGTAAGCCTGACTCATGTACAGCAGGCTAAAAGCACTTTGATCCAGACATACTATCAGCTTGACTGCTTGAATGTACAGTAATGTAATAGAGCAAAAGCCTTGAGCCGGCTGTGGTTAGTTAAAGTATTTTTTTAGAGGAAAGCGAAATTGTATCATATTACTTTATTGTGCAGCTCCTTGATGAACAGTTTACCTATCAGTTGTATCATCATCATTATTCTTGGCTATGGTAGAAAAAGCAAAATATGGGAATATAAAACGGGACTCACTGTGATCCTCCATACACATTTGGTATTAGGAGGGTAAACTCCTGGGTAACCCTGGCTCCCGATTACTCCAGAATCCCCTGTTATGTTTCCGCCGCATGTGAAGGTTGGTCTAAATGATGATGTGTTAAAACAGCACAACATGTATACACGTTAACGACAGCCTGCAGTTGATTTAACACAAGATTTTCATTTAATGCGCCATAGGTCCTGACTGGAGGCAGCCCAGACTGCAGAATACCCCTCTGAATAAACTCCAGTCCACTGAGGCTACATGAGATCCTTGACACCTTGCTCACTCATAAAGCTTTCACAATTAATTGAAAAAAACAACAACATGTAAATAAATGTGTACCTCTGCTGAGACTGCGCACAGACCTCTGTCAAGAACAGTAGACTCCATGCGCCAAAAATACTGCATGTTCTCCACATTGTTGGGTTAACGGAGCGGGCGCTTCGCCTGTTTTCGCCCCGTGGCATGAATGGCATTGTGTTCAGCAGCTGGAGCGGTGGGGAAAAGTACCCAGGAGTTCCTGCGGGGCAGTTTCAGTAACTGCAAGCTGGAGCAGATGAATATAGCGTTTGTTCTGCGTGGTAGGAGGGACGGAGCAAGGCTGCTGCCCCCCCCCCCAAAAAAACCTCGATTAATGATCGCATTAGTTTCACCTGGCCTGGAAAACCTTGAAAAAAAGGAGGCATGAATAAACTTGAACCATTAAACATAGATGAATGGTTTGGTATTTCAATTATATGGACCATGTGCATATGGCAGAGACATTTATGATCCCACTCAGTGTCTGCAGTGTGGTGTGTAGGCTATGCTGCAGGCTGTGCTATCCAGATGTGGAGTGAAAGAAGACACTCTGTAACAGGGGTGTAGATTTTTACAGCAGCTGAGATATCATTACAAATATGTATTTATATTGCTGTATATGAGGAACAGGTAAGATTGACTACTAACAGAGAAAGAATGAGAGCGATAGAGAGCGAGAGCACCACCTGCTGGAGTAAATACGGTATTTACTTAGTAACTATTATAGCTCATATATATCGTATTTTACTTATACGACTGGATACATATTAAGACTTTACATTAGGCTACCTACGTATGTACTGTAGGTCAACGCGAAGGTACACATGTATAATTTATGTGACATTACTACTTAAAGAATAAAGATGTTTTAATTTAACATATAAAACGAGATCTTCTCTCAAAATTATTATTATTTTTTTTTATAACTTTTAAACACGGCTCCAGTCCATTTGCACTACAAACACCTCATATACACTGTGGATGATAAACACACAGCTGTGGCAGAGAAAAACGATAAAAACAAGTTCAGCCATCGTTGACTCGGCGTTTGACTGTGTCGCCTGCACATTTGCCGCTATCTTCTGATCGATGATCGACTTTATTTAGTTCCACAAAAGATGGCGGACCGTACGCCTGGTGGCTCTCAAAAAGCTAGCGCTAAGGTGAATGTACCGTTTCTTCTTGCATTAGCTAGGTCTCACCCGTTGTGGTGAAAACAATGTAAATAACAGTACGCCTGAGCAGCAGTGAGTATTGTATGTTTGTAGCCTGCGAGAGACAAGAGTTAAGAGTGTGCGCAACGGAGTGAGCTACCTCACTTACCATCGGCTCTCCGGCCACACTGGCTAATTCAGCTAAGCTAAGCTAACGATGTAGCTACCACAAGCAGGAATAGTGAGCCAGAAAGGAGTGTTTTTTTTTTTCTTCTCCCAGCTAGGCATCCGACACCGACACAACAAGTCTTCAGACCAGGCGATTTGTGTTTGAATTCAGAAATTGCACGTTAGATATTAGTGACAGCCGTGAGCTCCGTGTTAGTCATTGGGCGCTTAATGCATTCAGTCGGCGGCGCTGCAGCAGCTTGTTAGGCCTCTTGCTCTGTTGTAGCTTACGGTAGCTACTTCCTTGGGGCTTTCTGCAGCTAAGAACAACACATGCAGTAAATGCAACTTACAGAACGACGAGCAAAGGTTTGGCCAAGGGTCTCTAACGACGAGTGGACGCTTTATAGTGTAGTGTGAGTTGCGTGGTGTTACGGTAATAAACCCTCGCTGAACTTAGCTGTCAACATGAGCTGTCACGCTTAAGAAATCGTTTTAGTAATAATTAACACTACCCCGGGGCAGTAGTTATCTGTGTGATGGCCCTGACTGTGTTATATGCGCCCAGATTTAGCGTTACATTATGCGACCGTGATGTATAACCTGTGGGAAAACCAACCATGCTTTGTTTACATCGACAGGCGCTGCTTGAGAGCAAACTGAAGTCTTTCAGCATTGGCAAAATGGCAGTTGCAAAGAGGACCCTAAGCAAGAAGGAACAAGATGAAATTAAGAAAAAAGTAAGTATTGGCTTCCTCTTTGATCTCGTCCGTGCACATTTTATTAAGATGCTTCTCTGTAACCTAATTTATGTGTTTATTCACTCTCACACTGGATTCTTTGTTCAGGAGGATGAGCGAGCAGCAGCAGAGATCTACGAGGAGTTTCTTGCTGCTTTTGAAGGAGGAGGAGAGGGCAAAGTCAAGGCCTTTGTCCGTGGTGGTATTGCAAATGCAACTAAAGGTACAACATCTCTCTATTTTATCATGGGTTTCTCACACGGATTGCACGATGCGTTCGGGCACAACCACAGTTCACAACATCCTCCATCCATCATTTAATAAAGTTACATTCTAATGCCCTAACACACTTGTTCTCCTTTCAGAAGAGGCAGCTGCTGATGAGAAGAAAGGGAAGTTGTACAAGCCCAAGTCACGTTTTGAGACCCAAACAAAAAGCTTCTTGCCTTTGGAAACCCCACCTCAGTTTTTAGCGATAGACAAAAGACATGTAAGTACAATGACAGTGAACAAGTCGTGTCTCTTGTTACTGCTGTAGTAAGTAATGCTTTGTTTTTACTGTGCTGATAATGTTTCCACATCTGTATTCTAGTCTTTGAAGAAAACTACTGAAAAGGAAAAGAAGAAGAGCAACTTGGAGCTCTTTAAAGAAGAACTTAAACAGTAAGTTTCAACACATGAATCTGTTAAACATTTTAGTTGTTTAGGATTCTGAAAACCAGCAGTTCTCTGGTGTTACGGTGTGAAAATACAAAACCCGTTCTACTTTGAACATAGGTTGAACTTAATTGTACTAAATGCTGTTTTGTGCAGAATACAGGAGGAAAGGGATGAAAGACACAAGATGAAAGGACGTGTTAGTCGTTTCGAACCTCTCGCGGGCACGGACGGAAGACGTTCATGTGAGTGTCTTCAAGTGGCATGACTGTGTTCCATGTACTAACTTGGCCTGAAATGGCCCTGTCCTGCACGCCTTACTCCACCCCCCTCCCTCCCCCAACACCCATTGTCCACTTTTCCCCTGAAACAAAATTTACACTGCTTTTCTGCTTCTTTTAGCGGATGGTTCTTCAAGAAGAAACCGTCCGTCCAGTGGTAATTTTGACTTAATATAGTGGCTGTGAATATCCTCAACTTGCTCAGAAAATAGGTTGTCCTGTCAGTCAGCAGTAGGAAATTCTTCTCTCTTTTCTGTCTCTGCAGTTTTGGATGACTGTGCGCCAGGTTCCCATGATGTTGGAGACCCATCCACTACTAACTTGTATCTCGGAAACATCAACCCACAGGTGAATTTGTGTTCAAACATTTCTGAAGTGGAACAGGAGGGCTTGATTTGAGTGTGTCGCTTTGCTATGGGTTGAAAATAACATAGGGCAAGGCCATAACAGTGCATGCTTATGCTCTTAATATCAAGTGCTTATTTAGTGCAGATATGTACCTAATCTACATTTAAGAATAATTTAACAATTTTCCCCATTTCTGTTTTTGTTATTCGATAGATGAATGAGGAGATGCTGTGTCAAGAGTTTGGTCGCTATGGCCCGCTGGCCAGTGTGAAGATCATGTGGCCGAGGACAGATGAGGAGAGGGCTCGGGAGAGGAACTGTGGCTTTGTGGCTTTCATGAACAGGAGGGATGCTGAGCGAGCGCTCAAGAACCTAAATGGTACAAAGTTGTATTTCTTTCTATTAAATAAATCAATTACATACTTGTGTTCTTTCCAGTCATTGTAAACATGTATTTTTTTGCTCCAATTATAGGAAAGATGATTATGAACTTTGAGATGAAATTAGGATGGGGCAAAGGTGTGCCCATTCCACCCCACCCCATCTACATCCCTCCTTCCATGATGGAGCACACACTCCCACCGCCTCCCTCCGGCCTACCCTTCAACGCACAGCCCCGGGAGAGGCTAAAGAACCCCAATGCTCCCCTGCTTCCTCCACCTAAAAACAAGGAGGAGTTTGAGAAGGTAACTCAGCATGTCAGCCTAGGATTTTGTCATGGGTTAATGGCAGTGTTTTGTTAATGCAGCTGGTGAGATGTTAGCCTTTATAATGAGCAGTCAGTACAGGTTTTAATCCAAGTTTCTGTAAGTTATAGCTATTGTCTTATTGACTGAATTAAACTAGTTTTGCACTGTATGTAAGTGTCGGTATAATGAAATGTTAGCGTGTGGAAAATGCTCAGTGTTACAGAGAGGTGTTTATGGTTAATGAATACAGTGTCAGGGGTGTTTGGCCTTTAGTAAAACTGACAGCAGTAAAGGAAAGTTGTTGTCTTTGCACTTTTAAATGCATTTTTTATATTTTTCACCTGTTGCCTTTTAACAATACTCACATTCTATGTTTATTATCTGATGTGACTTCATATACAGACTCTGTCGCAAGCCATAGTCAAAGTGGTTATCCCAACAGAAAGGTACATGTTTTTCTTTTTTTAAATTGGTGTACAAACTTAGAAAAAAACATCCCATAATGAAGCTAAAAGTTTGATCAGTTGATCACTGCATGCTACAGGGGGCTGGTCAGTACGGGTGAGCAATGGTTGAGGCTATTGTACAATGTCATCATTAGTAGATAGAATAATACTGACTTGACGAGTTTGTTTTGTACCTTGCTCTTTCACACTCCACCATCACTCATTTTTCCTTTTTAGAAATATGTAGCAAAAACATCATTATAGTGCTTATATAATGTGCTGTTTGGAGCCAAACATCATGACTTTACTCCATCACAGTTCCACTCCATACATCAACATTTAATTGTGTTGTTTTTTTTTTTCCAACTTCAGTGACATGTTACTCCACATACACAGTCTGCTGATTCTAGATCTGTAGTTGTGAAATCCTGTTCTCTGACCATTGCTCACTCAGACCGTCTACCCCCTTGGCCTCTGTCACTACTGGGAGCTCAGTAAATCTGGCCCCTGCCAACAAATCCAAACCTGCCAGTATTAGTCTATATATGACCTTTGACATTGGCCTTGGTGAGCAGCACAAGTTGAACTGTCTGCAGCAGCGAGGGACCTGAAAAGCCTCATGGGATGGATTGGGAAAGTATACTGAATTTTACCCCGCCATTGGTACGATCGGCTCCAATACAAGTAAATGTGATCTGTGTTGTCAAATGAAAGACATCCTTTGTCTTTTTGGCCACTTTAGGCTAATTGTATGCAGCCTGCACCATGTATCTCCCCAAAATTGTCACAGAAGAACTTTGGTGATCCCATTTGCACTGTATTCAGTCATTACCAACTCTACCAGTAGATAACATGTTTAGTCAATTTAGGTCAACAATCCTATACTGCTTTGGTTCTTCCTCACTTCACATTGGTCAGGAGAAGAGTGGGAATTGAAAGGCACTGTATTGACAGTGTTCAGTTAATGCAGTGTCTTGTCAATGTCTCGCTCCTACTTTCCCAAGTTCTTCAGCTTCGCTTTTGTGAAGTTTGAATCTAGGAAGATTTCAAAGAAAGGATCCAGGCAGTGCAATGTAATTAAAACCTGTTGCTCTGCAGCCTAAAAGGACACAGGCATGAACTTATAACAATTTACGCACAATTTAAAATAAATTCTACTGTTATCTGAATTGTTAGTCTTTCTTAAAAATTAATTCTTAATTAATGAACGTTTTACTGTTACTTCATCAGTTGTCATTTTAAGTTTTGATTTTTGGCAGCATTTATGCATTGATGTTGTACATTGGCTGAGAGGTATAGTCAGTTACATTTAATTTATGCCTGGTCACATGCCACTCTCTCACAGTTATGTCTCACATCGTCCTTCTCAGTTGATGCGTAATAAATATGTTATTGTATATCTTTGGCTGAGTCATTTAGGTGACATCTTCTGTCGGGTACCTTTTTATAGCAAGTATTACCATGGCAGCGCACTACTCAGTTACAGCCTACTGGGCGTGACAACTGCAGTTCCGCCCTGTAACATTTGTTAAACATTCATCGTGTCTGTTAAGAGACAACTGTTCTGAGTGTCAAACCACCAAGCATAAATTAAATGAACAGACAAGGTTATTGTAGTGGTCAAGGGTCCGGCCAGTCTGAATCCGTTTGCTTTAACTGTGTTTTTCTTGTAGGAATTTGCTCTCTCTCATCCACCGAATGATCGAGTTTGTGGTGCGTGAAGGCCCAATGTTTGAAGCCATGATCATGAACAGAGAAATCAACAACCCCATGTACAGGTCAGTGCTGCACATTAGTAATGCATTTACTTTTATTCTTTCAGTAGTTAGTAGTTCTTATGAGCGTATGGATCCTAACTTTATGTTTATGATTTTTCTAATTCTAGGTTTCTATTTGAGAACCAGAGCCCAGCACATGTATACTACCGATGGAAGCTCTACTCCATACTACAGGTTTAATTTCTTCTTATTAAAAATTGTTCAAGTAAACAATTTCAGTGGCATCCAGCCCGCACTGAAGAAAAACAATAACTGTAAATTATTACTCGCTCAGGGTGAAGCACCAGCTAAATGGCGAACAGACGACTTCAGGATGTTTAAGAATGGCTCTTTGTGGCGTCCTCCTCCTCTTAATCCATACCTCCATGGTCCTTATGATGATGGTGAGGAAGAGGAGGAAGAGGAGGACGGCACCAAGAAAGGCTGCCTGAAAGAAGAGTAAGGCCATTTCCTTAAAAACATCTCATGATTCATCAAACTGGGTTAAAATGCCCTGCTGTTGGTGAACCTGCAGTTCCATAGATTTACGTTTAATTGCCTTTCATCTGTGCAGAGAGCGGGACAAACTAGAGGAGATGCTGCGTGGTTTGACTCCCAGGAGGGGAGACATAGCAGAAGCCATGTTGTTTTGTCTCAGCCACGCCGAAGCAGCTGAAGAGATTGTGGAGTGTGTCACAGAGTCTCTCTCCATCCTCAAGACCCCTCTTCCCAAGAAGGCAAGACAACAGCGCTGACGTCTGCTTGAAAAAGGACCAATAACTTCCATGAATGTCAAATTCTGTGGACAATTTAAAGATTAGTTCATATTTTGTCTTTTACTTTTCAGATTGCACGGTTATATCTAGTTTCTGATGTGCTGTACAACTCCTCTGCCAAAGTAACCAATGCGTCTTACTACAGAAAATAGTAAGTTGTGTAATTTACCATCTTGGACTATATAACACATCACTGTCAATTTCAGATGGGTATACCCAAGTCACTACTTCTGTCTCAAATTCACATTAATGCTTGTACCTTCTTAACAGTTTTGAGGCAAAGCTCTGCCAGATTTTCTCAGACCTCAACGCGACATACAAAGCGATACAGGGTCACCTTCAGAGTGAGAACTTTAAGGTACCAAATGTCCAACTCTTGCTAAGTAAACCTAAAACAATGAATAGTTTACACAAGCAGTTTGTCACCTACAGTATGTCACTCACCGTCCTTGTCTTGGTTTCTTTGTGGCAGCAAAGGGTTATGGCATGTTTCCGGGCATGGGAGGACTGGGCTGTGTACCCAGACCCCTTCCTTATCAAGCTGCAGAACATCTTCCTTGGTCTAGTTAATATCTCTGCAGAGAAGGAACCTGTTCCCGTCATTGTGGAGGTGAATTATGTAACAATACTTGACCAAATTGTCACAACTTAATAGCTTTCAAAACCTAGCAGTTACTAAATCAGAGCTAGAATTTCTTTGTGCCGGTTTTGTCTCAGGCTGAGCCAGCAGAGGACATCGATGGGGCTCCAATAGGGGAGTATGTAGATGGCCTTCCGCTGGAGGATGTGGATGGGGTGCCAATTGACGCAGGGCCCATTGATGGAGCTCCAATTGACGGAGCCCCCCTGGATGACCTAGATGGGGTTCCTATCAAGCCCATGGAAGAAGACATAGATGGAATACCTTGTGAGTGGTCCAGAGACGAACAAATGTGGTTGTTGATGTTGTATGATCTGTATGCAGCTCTTGTAGAGTGACTCAATTACTTATTTCTTTTTTTTTATAGTGGATCAGTCCAAGGAGGCAACGTTCAAGGTAGCACCCTCCAAATGGGAAGCAGTGGATGAGTCAGAGTTAGAAGCTCAAGGTTAGACCTTTTTATGTGGCCTTAAACTACTACATTTTAATTTCAGTACATAAATCTTGATGTCACCTGTTTTGTTTGCTCCTTTTAGCTGTGACAACATCAAAATGGGAGATGTTTGAGCAGCCAGAAGAAACAAAAAAGTGAGTTGTATCTGTGTGTGCGGTCTTTTGAGGATAACGGTCTGTTCTGTACTGCAAATAGATCTGTGCACCCTTTTAACCTTTTTTTATAAACTTTTTCTAACTGAAGGGATGACGAGGACAGTGATTATGATGACAGGAGCCCTCGCTCAGAAGATAATCAAAGCTACTCCAACCCCATCAGAGATGACTCAGATATTAAGGCCAAGATGTCTGAGATGAATGAGGAAAAACGCACCAAGCTCAGAGAGATAGAGGTACTTTACAGCTATCACAAACCCCCATACTACACGTACCAGCATACACCACAATTTGTGTTTTGTGTGCAAATGAAATTCATTGTTTTGACCACTTTCCTTTTATTGTTCATCCAGGTTAAAGTCATGAAGTTCCAGGATGAGCTGGAGTCTGGGAAAAGGCCCAAGAAGCCTGGGCAGAGTTTTCAGGAGCAAGTGGAGCACTACAGGGACAAACTACTACAAAAGGTATGGAGTTGGGCTCTGCAGACTTTACAATGGATGATATAAAGTACAAAAGTTGTCATTCAAAATTGGGGTCATGGTTCCTTTTTTACTGTAGGAAAAAGAAAAGGAGAAACTTGAACGGGAAAAAGAAAGGGAGAAGAAAGAGAAGGAAAAGGCTGAGGCACGGTTGAAAGACTTGAAGAAGGAAAAAGAAAAGGAGGACACACCAACCAGGAAAGAGAGGTGAGATAACCAGCCAGTAGGTTGTCGGGTTTATCCATAAAGTGCACGTCTAGTACCTCGGAGAGTGCAGTGTAAAACTTTGTCTGAGATATTTGTCCCCTTCGGTTGATAGGAAGCGGCGTCACAGTGGGTCACCCAGCCCCACGCGGAGTAGCAGCAGACGAGGCCGATCATCGTCACCCCGTTCTGAGCGGTCAGAAAGATCAGAACGCTCCGACCGCTCATACTCCAAAGACACATCTTCCCGTTCTTCGCATAAAGACTCTCCGCGATCTAGCAACAAAAAGTCCTCCAAGAGGTAAGACTTCCTGTCCAGGGCTTCCCCTCAAGTTGTTGTAGAGCAAGGTTTTGGAATCTTACATTTCACCATTTTCTTTTAATTTAAGTGGGGTTAGTAGAGTGGAAACATTGAGATCTAATTCTAACGTATTGTTTGTCCAACTAGGTCTCCCTCACCTCGCACACCCAAAAGATCCAGGAGGTCGCGCTCCAGGACGCCCAAGAAATCAGCTAAGAAGTCTCGCTCCAAATCAAGGTCACCTCACCGGTCTCACAAAAAATCAAAGAAGAGCAAACACTGACACGTCTTTTCCCTCAACCTCCAAACCAGCCTATTCTCCTCCCTCCCCATTCTTCCCTTTTCTGCGCCGTGTTGTATAAAAGATTGACTGATTTGGCAGCTGAAGATCTCTGCCCAAATGTTGATGTATAGACAATGAGTGGAGGGTGTTGCATGGGTTACCATCTGGTGTATCAAATGGATGGGGCCATTGCTGTTTTATATTGTACAAAAAAATAATGTGCTTGTGTGTCCTGATTCCCCATCACCTCCCAATGGAATTCATCCATGTGGTAGACCACACCCGTACAGAGTGTGATGACAATAGTCATATTCATGCTGTCATTTTCTGTTTTTGTAGTTCACATTAAAAATAATTCCTAATAAACAAGTGTCATTTTTAAATCAAACAATGTGGACATTCAGAAAATTTTAATGGAATGATTTCAATGAAAGGGAGTTGTAGTAGAATATATACAAATTATAATTTATTTACATTTAGTGTGTTTTGGCAGCAAAAACAATTTTACAAAAGCTGAAAAATCAGTGCTTTTAAGGAAAATTTAAAATTAGGGAAGCTGTTCTGGCCATGTGATGTCAGTTACTTTACAACTTGGCCTGTGCCTTCTTTAGTTGATCTCTTAGTTCTAGACGAGCAATGGAGGAGAGGTGTACCTCATCTGGCCCATCAGCAATGCGAAGAGTCCGCGCATACGAATACCTGAAGAAGAATGGTGATATTGCATCAGGGAGGAGATTAATTTAAAGCTCATTCTCATTAGTGGGAGGGCGGGGAAGGACACTTACATCTGCGCTAGTGGAAAGTCTCCAGACACCCCCCCGCCTCCATGTACCTGTATAGCACAGTCCACCACATAACAGGCCATCCTGGCTGCTGCCACCTTGATCATAGCAATCTAGGACACACCATTAACAGTAAGTGAACACACTGGAAGAGTGACAATATGCAGTAAATGCTCAGTAAACATAATAAAAAAAATAAACCCTTGCTTTGAGTGCACTGTTTACATACACTTTTCTCCCACAGTGCAGTGGGAATAGCAATTATGGAAATCCTTTATTAAATCATAAACAAACATCTTAATTGGTATTTTATGCCTGAACCCTAAGTTGAAACGCATTGACATATTAGTGATTTAAAAAGGTCCAGTGTGTAACATTTAGGAGGATCTATTGGCAGAAACTATAATATTCATATCCATATTTTTTATTAATGTACAATCACCTGAAAATAAGAATTGTGTTTTTAATCTACAAAAGCGAGCAGATTCTGCTGCAAAATCTATAAAGTTGAGCCACCATGTATTTACCCAGAATGGACAAACCAAACACTGGCTGGCTTTTTTTGACTTTGTCAGCCACCACGCTTTCTACTACATGCTTGGTTGAGGCAAGGGGTTTCAGTTGGTTCCAATCTAACCAGTACATGCCACTAAATCCTACAAACTGGTCCTTTAATAAAAGATTTTGCCAACTAATACCATGGACTTTTATAGAAAGCTGGGCGTCATTGCTTTTTTAGCTTTAACATTTTTTTTTTACTGTTAATCAACAATCTTAATTTATACCATTTCATACAGGACATGAGGGGTCCTGGTGGTTTGAAGAGAATGAAAATTTATGGGAGAACTGAGAGGGTTCCAGAGACTACGAGGTTTGTGTTGGTTTGTCCTTTAGATTTTTATCTGTATGTCAGACAGTTTTACCTCTTTGCGAGCAGCTCGGCTACCCAGTGTATCCAGGGCATGAGCAGCATGTAGAGTCAGCAGGCGGGTCTGTTCTATCATGAGACGGCACTCTGCTATGCAGTGAGCAACAACTTCCTATACACATATCATAGACAACACAGGAGGGACAGAATATTTACACAGCTGCATCTAAAAATCTGTCCACTAGGTGTCAACAGCAGGAAAGAGCTCAGTTCCACAGCCCTGAAGTAAAAATTGAAGGAATCTCTTGGGTCAATGTTCACTTACATGTTGGTAAAGTTTCTTTCCAAATGTGCGCCTGGAGGCGGCCCGCTGGCAGAGCAACTCCAGTGCCAACTCTGCTAGACCGACGGCCCTCATACAGTGATGCAGCCTGCCTGGCCCCAGACGACCCTGGGCAATCTCAAATCCCCGTCCCTCGCCTGCAAACAAAAACGCCGTGGGACAGAGCCCAGAGACATAACAGAAAGATACCATGAATTCTCACAGGAGGGAAAATATATCTCTGGCCTAGTGACCTCATACAAATAGTCAAACCAGTATAACTTTATTGTCCAAACACAATAAAAAGGATAATAAGAACCAATATATTTCTATGGCTTTATAGGTGTAGTGTGCTTCTGAAGAAGACCTTATGTGAGTAAATAACCGAATAATAACAGAAACACAGAAATACAGAGTCTTACCCAGAATAATGTTGGCGGCAGGGACGCACACATTTTCAAAGTGCACTTCAAAGTGGCCACCATGGATGGCATCTAAACACAGGAAATTCTCATTTGAAAAAAACTAATTTGTCACGTTTGCATGCACAAGGGAAATCAATATTGTGAAAAAAAACAGGAAAATATAAATAGCAGTTGAAGCTGTAATGACAGACATAATCCTACCATCCTGTCCAAACACGGTGAGCGGTCTGACAAGCTTTACACCAGGTGTGTCCATAGGGACGAGGATCATACTGTGTTGGCCGTGCCTAATAAAGAAGTTTAGAACCAAAGCTTTAAAAAGGAATGATACATTTTACAAAATAAACATTTTGATTAGGTTTTCATGCTGCCCTAAATTCACATTACTGGTCTCTTAGCAATAAGGTTGGGTGTGTGCTTTTTAACACTACTGACAAACCAAGGAGAAAGTGTATTACATATCATGGGTGTGGTTGTTTCTAGTTTGTTTTTTTTCCATGGACATTTTAAATTACTGTAACTGATGAGCATTGGATTAGAAAGTTAGTGCCAATTACATGTCAGCCACAAGATTTAATTTACAAGTGTCAACAAGATTAAACTGATATATTTTTGTGCCATGTGATTCAAACCCCTCAGCACAAAGGCTAGGCAGGGGTTTTAAAATGCACTTGCATCCTGGGAAGTACACCCTGTTCTCTAACCAAAGTCCATTTCAATTACAATTGTGGCACAGAAGAAGGTTAATAGGAAAAACAGCATCTGAAGTCAAGTGCAAAGGTAGACTGACAAGCACAAAATCATTAAATTATAAAACCAGACGAGTTACTTCACTGGGAGAAGTGAAATACTGCAAACAAAAATCCTGGAACAATAAAACCTGTGGTTAACATGACATCACAAGACTAAATTCTTGCGCAAATATAAAAAGTATTTCTTTCCTATTCCACCCACCCACTCACCAGAAGAGGAAACAAACCAATATTGTGCACCACAAAAGTGTTAACACACTACTGACCTGCTGCTAACATCCTGAGAACTGCTCCTGCACATCACAATGGACACTTTGCACTTGGGATTGCCAGCACCTGCGGGAGAACAGTCAGAAAGGCTGTGGTTTATTTGTAATGTAAGGTTTGTGGCCGTCTGGTGGGATGACAAACAATAGGACAAGCAACTTGTCACAGTCCGACCATGTCCTTAACCATTTCATGACCCGAGTCTTGTCGGAAACTATGTGTGTTGCAGATTGGGAAAGGGCCAAGCGTGGATGGAGCTAGTGACAGACTGATGGCATGAGAACAGCCAGCTGAGACAGCCACAGGTTGATTTACGCTTCCTCAGTTGGATTCTTTCACATCGAGTAACATTTAGTTTGACATGAAGCCGATCTTGATGGTTGGGGAGAAACTGAAGATTTACTTGAGCTTTTGCTGGATAAAATGCTTCTTTTACGGCTGCCAAAACATAAATACACACACACAAAACACCCACTAGAGGGCAACATCCTATATATATACATTGATGCAAACTATCACGCAAACTAGATACAGTGGAAATGAAATGATGATGTGAAATGTGCACTGAGCGATAATGGCCAAATGCAGAATACTTTGGAATTTCCCTGTTTGGGAGTCCACATTCAGACAAACAGTCTCTCATGTGGCACTGGATCCTTAAGGCACAGACAAAGTGACCAACGATCTGCCTTCCTGTTTATATTCCTGTCCAAATGGCAAAACTGTCCCCTAAGGACAAGACACATGGACACCAGACAGCAACAGACACAGGCCATTAATAGTCTTTGAAAACTCACAGTTTGAGAATCACAGCATGAGTGCATGTCAACACTTAAATCAAATCTGACAGATATTTAGCGTTTAAGCTCTTTCTTGGATAGCTGAAATTTAAACAAACAATAAATCATTATGTTTGCACTGTTACAAAGTACAAAACAGTGACAACAGACTCCACCCAACATCACATCTAAGAAGAGCCCGTTTGGCTCGGGGGCAGGTTGAGTTTTACTGTGAACTCTTATGTAAGTCTCATGGTCCATGAAACAAGGTGAGCCCTGCTGTTATGCGACAGTCATGCCCATACACGTATGAAAGGTATGAAAATAAACTGACGCGTCTTCTTGAGAATGTGACAATCACATTTGTTTTGTTGATGATTTAAAAAAAGAACAAAAGAACTTTCATGTGAGAATGTACACTTCAAAAATAAATGCCATTTTCCTTGGGAAATATGACAGAAATTTAAGGAGGCATGCTTTTATTTATTTTTTTGTTGAATTATACTAAATTTATTTTTGTACAGTCGGATTAAAGAGGGAGAAAGAGAAAGAATGAAAGACGGGGGGGATTAAAAATAAAGTGAACAGTTTGAGGAAGTTGAAACAAGGAAACACTATTCCTAAGAAAAAAAAAACACAGGAAACCAAAGTGACATTCATAAATTTCATCTTAAAAGTATCTAAAATAGAATAGTTTAGTCCACTGAATTTTTGCCAATGTAAGTGGGGTACCAAAACCAATAATGGCAGCATTCCAGAAAACCACAAAAACAAGCCTTGCGAATGGGACAAAGTTAGTCCATATGGGATCTTATTTTATATCCTCCTTCTATAGTTTCTAGTCTAGTTTCTTGTTCAAACACAAACAAAAGGGCAGCCACCAAGGCAGTCCCTGCGTGACAACCGGAGCAAGAGATTAAATTCACAGTTAATCTGAGATTGAAAAACAGCTTCTCTTTGTATACTGTACTACACAAAGAACCGCTCAAAGACAATAAGGACTCAAGGAATTTTGATACGTTTATCCTGCAACATAACACACTCTTAAAGACACGCACACACGCACGTGCGTGGAGAGCTACGTGGTAGAGAGAGGTGCTTCTACAGTGTCAGCAGTGAAGGGAGTGGAGCTGGCTGAGGCAGACAGAACAGTCTCTTCAGCCCTGTGGTGCATACAACGTTCCTCCTCAGGATACATACCAACTGCCTCTGTGTGATTGGAAAAGGATTCATATCATTAACTTTACTGAAGCCACAAAAGGGAAGACACAAGGTAAGTAAATCTTTTCAACTTTAACTATAACTTCACTCAATATTTTATACTTTTCCATGAACTATTAAGCAGTTCAAACTATCACAAGAATGTAATGAATCTTGGAATGTTTTTCTTCTATTCCGAACCATATTGTGTGCTGACAGGTTTGTAATGTATATGGAGTACTGTTGGGATCTTATGTTTATTTATTATTACTTCTTACATTTACTTATGTTATATACTGAAAAGTATTGCGTCTTGTTTTTCCAATAGTCAAATTATCATTTAAGTGTTAGCGAGTCAAAGTCCTGCTCAGGGATTTTTATGACTATTTATTATTTAACCATAGTGAAGAAATGATAACAAGCTAAACTTAGCCTGTTGTGTTCTGTTGGTCTTCTCTGTTACCTTTTGCTCTTTGTGAACATTTTCAGGGTCATAACTGTAAGTGTAGTTTATAAAACAGTTGGCAGGATGAAGGACTTCTGTCTGAGTGATTTTGCTTTAATCTTTTTATGTTGTATATGCTTTAACAACTGCATCTTCCAAATGTAAACAAAAAGGTCATGGCTTGTTACATTAGTATTATTAAAGTTAGCTTACATCAATAATGTTTGTACAAAATAGCAGTAAAAGCCTATACTTCCAGTTAGGATCAGTTGCAAACAGAATTAGCACTTTTAATTTTGATTAAATTATACATCCAAATTTGACTAGACTTTGACTAGATTTTTCTTTATTTATTGATCTTGTGAAGACCAAATAACCTGAACGTCCACATAAACACTTGTATCTACCCATTATGCTACCCTTTCATACAAAGCACAGCTGTTGACAGCTCTGGAATAGTTGACATATTTTGGAATGTTCTACTGAACATCTGTTTCAGTATGCTGCTACTCCCATATGGGGAGATAACGACTCATTATATAACAAACCTGGACACCTTCAATAAAATGACTGCTCATCATTACATTTGAATTAAATATTCTCATCCTCAGCCAGGAATTATTTCATCAGTGACGTAATGTGTTTTGCTGTTGGATTTCACAGTTTAGTGGATCAGTTAGATATTTAAATATGTGATACTATGTGAACCTCCAACTTGAACTTTCACAAACACAAACTAGGTGTGTCTAACAAAAGGTACAAACATTTAGGCTACAGTTGCAACGGTCTCCAAGCAGAGGAATGACTGGGTCCCAAGGAAATACAAGTATTGAATTTCTTGTCACAAGGTTAAAGAGAAAATAAATAAATGAATAAGAATTTTCCAAGCAAGTTTGTTTGTTTGATCAGAGCCAGTCAGTCACTGTGTACACCCATGTACACACAGTACTGTATTTACTGGTCCTCAGTAGACACGACATCTTCATCTGGAGCTAGCAACTGGGGAGGGGACGTTAACAACACAATGGATGAAAGTCTCACTCAGTGGGCTTGTTCTGTTGAACCAGCACAGACCATACATAGTAAAATCAACATCCTGGATTTGAATCTGGCAAGAGACCTTGGTTGCACTTTTGTGTCATCCTCATCCTCCCTCCACATATTTCCTGTCATTCAAGGACTTTGGATGTCTCCGACAGACAAAGTATCATTAATCAATGAAAGAAAGCAAAGAAATTGGAAGTGTAATATGTGGATGAATGCGTTCGCGGATCAGCTAACATTTACAACATGTACACGGTCCTACATAATGCACAGTAGAGGTTATCAGTTTGCAGTGCAGCTTGTACTGTACTGCCAGCTTAATCATAATACTGAACCTTTACTTACTGTTGATTAATAATCAGAGATTGTGACTAAAGGAGAACTTCAGACTGCTGCAAATCTAAATTCTGCAGATCACTTACTTATCTTACAGAATACTAAGTGAATTCAAAAGGGAATTTGTTCCTTTGCAAGTTTTGTCTCTTAATTTTTTTTGAGAAGTGTATTCATGGGAGCTATTCAAGCTCAAACACAGTTCAGGCAGACAGGGCTTAAGCCATTAGGGAAACCATGCAGGAGAGATTCCTTTGATGCCAAATACTGAAATAACTCCTTTTTCCTGTTTTCCTACTCTTGTTATAATAACAAACACTCTATGCCATGACTGATTATATAGCCCATAGATCATAGCATGTGCAATTAAAAAGGGCAAAGTGAAATATATTCCCCATTTAAAAATAGAAAAAACGCTTTCCTAAATTGTACTCTGTTTCTTTCTCACTACAGCAAAAATGGAAGATTTCTATGATGATGACTCCACCTTTAATGACAGTTACGATTACAATTACGAACACACTATTTGTGACAAGGAGGCAGTGCGCTCTTTTGCCGGTGTCTTCCTCCCAGTCGTCTATGCCTTGGCTTTGGTGGTGGGCCTGGCTGGGAACGCTCTCGTAGTGGTGGTCTACACATCAAAGGTGCGACTACGAACCCTGACAGATGTGTGCATCCTTAACCTCGCCATTTCGGACCTGTTACTTCTCTTCACCCTGCCTTTCTGGGCGGCTGATGCTGTCCATGGCTGGAAGTTGGGTTCGGCAGCCTGCAAGATCACCTCCTTCCTCTACAGTACCAACTTCAGCTGTGGCATGCTGCTGCTGGCGTGTATCAGCGTGGATCGCTACCGTGCTGTGACCCAAAATCCTACAGGCAGGACTGGTACAGGTGTCCGGGTAAGGAGACAGTGGCTCCTGGTGTGTGTGGTGTTATGGGCTGTTGCCAGCTTTCTTGGCCTTCCGGAACTCGTCTTCTCCACAGTGAAGCACTCCCATCACAGGATGGCCTGTACAGCCATCTACCCGCCCAGCATGGCTCGACCTGCAAAGGCGGCCCTGGAGCTGCTGGAGGTGACCCTTAGATTCGGTCTACCCTTCTTGGTCATGGTGGTGTGCTACAGCTGCATAGGACGGGCGCTGAGCCAGGCAGCTGGGGTGCAGAGAGACCGGAAGTGGCGTGCCCTGCGGGTCTTGCTGGCTGTGGTGGCTGTATTCCTGCTCACCCAGTTGCCATACAACGTGGTCAAGCTCTGCCGAGCGATGGACGTCATCTACATCCTCGTGACTGACTGTGAAGTCAGCAAGGGTCTGGATCGTGCTCTCCAAGTGACAGAGAGCCTGGCGCTGAGCCATGCCTGCATTAACCCTCTCCTCTATGCATTCATCGGATCTTCCTTCAGGGGACACGTCCTCAAGGCTGCGAAACACCTTGGCCAGCGATTTGGGAGACACCCAAGACACGTCAACGAGGAGCCGGCAGTGGAGATTGCACTCAACACGCACACTCAAATGCAATCCCAGTCTGGTTCGGAAGACCAAGACACCAGTACTTTTACAATTTAAGACTCAAAGCATTTATCCATTTTCCTGTAAGCACCCAGACAAAACTGTATTTCTATGTATATTATTTTTATCATACAATATATATAATATTATTCTACTATCATACACGATAGACACCAATAACAATAAATATTCATTCTTAGTTTAATGAAGTATATGTACAGTGAGTTTATATGCACTAACTAAGCAAAGTATTTTGTACAAATTATGTATTTTGTTAAATAAAAGAACAAAGATCTTCAGTGACTCGCATCTACCAACATCTGTTGCAATTAAATGCAGCTGGAACTCAAGACGCTCTGAGTGCTTCTCTTTTTTCTCACTACAAATCCAATTCAACCTTACAGTATGCACTGCCTTCCATGAGATCATCTGCATCTCATTTCATTACATCCTGTGGCTTTGGGTTGGGAAGGCAGGCGGCTTGAGTGCACAGTGGGTGAACCATTGTGTATGAAAACATTTGGCAGATTAAGACAGAACAGCAAACAGCAGGAAGGACCCCTGCCATGATGTCAAACTGGGAAACAGCAAAGCAGCGTGTTCCTTGGAGAAGCTTTAAGCGTGACTGGTGTTTTTATTCACTCCTTTCTATAATATTAGCTTGAAAGAGCTAATGGTTTGCAGTGGAGTGCAATCCATAGTTCTATGTAACCTAACATTTTAGTAGTATATAAATTCTTTATCCAGGTGGCTAAAAATTGGCTTTCCCCCCTTTACTCAACGCCACCATAAAGCATTATGCTCACGCTACATATCAAATCTAGGATCAGAGCAGTGGATGGCCCCAGTCCAAGAGTTTATTCAAGCCTGTTTACACTACTGCAGCGATGACAGAGCAGGGATCAGCTTAATCTGGCAAAACCTCCTGACAAGGTCCACCACAGATAGCTCATAAAGGATCTTAAACATATCATTGTTTATCATTGCTTTCTATCTTCAGTACCTGTTAGTCATCCTCTTTCCACTGAAATGGCTTACAGCTTTGATGAGTGGGAGATGGACTCAAACACAAACTAGGTGTGTCTAACAAAAGGGACAAACATTTAGGCTACAGTAACGGTCTCCAAGCAGAGGAATGACTGGGTCCCAAGGAAATACAAGTATTGAATTTCTTGTCACAAGGTTAAATAGAAAATAAATGATAATGATTATTTTTCAAAAACCTTCTTAGTTATGTATCAATAAAGCATTCTTAACCTCTGCCTTTACAATCTGTATTTCATTTCAGTCTGAGCCAGATGTAAGGCTTTTCTTAAACAGTAAACGATCAAGTAATTATTAGCAGGTATTACATGTCTCAACATTATTCACCATAACACCAAATCATATGACTATTTTACCTAATCTTAATCGCCTGAAGGGAACCAAATTATAATGACTTGTATGACAATTCCGTTTCACTAAGAACTACCAATAATGTTAAACATGTGTACATTGTCTCTGCTTGGCTTAATGTGCATGCAAATGCAGAAAAGATTGCAGGTCTGGGAATAATTTTACTTGGAAAGAATGAGCATGCCCATGGGACAGTCTAGTATAGCCCCCACACTGCTGAGCTGCTCTGACAACATCTATAGACCCTATCATCTAGCAACTCAACTTTAGGATTACTGGCAACATATTTCATCCAACTGGACAGGCCCATATTTTCAGTAAGTTTAACTTACGGTGGGTTATTCCATGACAAGTAGTGGTCATTCAAACATACTGTGGGAACTGCTGTGCTATTATCATAATGACGTACAGCAGACAAACCACAAATGAGGTCTTTACTTTGTGTCTTCTATGGGAAAGGCCGCTGTATGAGTATAAACAAATGCACAGATCCTCCTCCTAAAAGGGCCTTGTAAAGTGTATTGGGAAACACCCGTAGTGTCAGTTATATAACTGCTACAGCTGGCAGTAATATTTGGCATTTGATACTTGGAAAAAATGAGATATACGAAAGCAAAAAATCTCAGTATTTCAATTAACACGACATCATCTACTTTTACTTCCCCTTTTTCCTTAAAATGAAATCAGATCGACAGCGTCTAGAGATTATGACTCACTGCAGAGGCACAAAACCCTCTAATTTCCGCTTGTGAATAATATGGTTTGCTACGAAAGCCGGCAAAGGTCGCAGTAAGTGTGGACATGGCCATCAGCATGTCAGCATTCTTTCCTAACAGAGAGAGATATTCATGCTAGAAGACATTCTCACAACCATACAAGATCTTTTCTGCTGATGGAAATTTTACTCAGCTATGGACCGTGCACTTCATAAAAACAATCATTGAACGTCCAAATAACCATAACCCTCATTTCTTGTAAATTCGTTTTTTTGTTTTACAAGAACAAGAAGGAATTCTCTGGAGATTTGAAAAAAAAAATATAAAAACAACAGGCCACTGTTTTCCTTTAAACTGGGAGTCAAAGCCTCACGACCACATTTATGTCAGAGGAAACATCTGGAATATCTTTGAGTTCATGGTGATTTAGAAGGTGCATGATAAACACTAATATGAGTATTGGATATTTATGTGATAACAATCGATTAAATCCATAACAATAAAGGTTTAATCTTATGATTAGGTGTCAAATTATGTAGTTTAGTAATTGTACCAAGATAACCAAACTAATTTACAAAGCCAATTAGAATCACCTTAAATCACTTACAGTGACAATTAGGGATAAAATGTCAATTCATGAACACACACTGACAAAGTGTTGCGGTTTGAATCTGTGACTTTTTATTGGTCCAAAACCAAAGGTTTTAAGTCTTTTAAAGTCTTTTAAGGTAATCAAAAAGCTGTTTATGTTATATAATGCTTTTTGTATGAGTCATCTGCACTTTTTCCATATGTTAGCAGTTTCAGTTTGTTACAGCAACATCTTGATTACATATAAAGTCATCTCTTTCTGAGAAAAGCTCTGGAGTACATAATGGACAATAACATTTGCAAGTTTACTCTTTTACAAACATTCTTTGGTTTAAGGGGACTTGCCTCATACAACGATTTAAAGAAGTTGAACTAAGTGTACATAAAACAACTTGTTTATTCAGTCTTAATCTCTCTTTCGTGTCCTAAATGGAGCAGAAAAGTATTCAGTGTTCTTGATGCGATAATACACGTTTTTTTTCTTATATAAGTAATATGAATAAAAATGGACATACCACTGCTCCACCATTTCTTGCCATTTATGATGTAGTTGTCTCCATCCCTGTAAAGTGTACACTCGATGTTGGTAGCATCGCTCGATGCCACATCAGGCTCTGGAAAAGGGAACACAAGTCAGCTTATAACTCGCAGCATATGAATGTTATACCAACTAAAAGATAATAAGCAATGAGATTTAAACTTAAGTTTCACATTGCCAGTGCCCTGCCTTTGCTTTATGTTGTATCTTTTCCAAAATTCCAGCTCAAACCACAGGCAGAGTGGTTAAAATAAATAGAGTGCAGTCACACTATTTTCATACTTAAACTGCGCAAAGTCAAGAGTAGGAAATGTTTAGCACAAGATGGAGATTCCTGTTCTTCGTCATCCAGTGTAATAAATCAGCCGAACTGGTGACAAAAAAACATCCCAAAACACCTAACTAATAATCCTCATCTGTGTTTACAAAAAAAACCATGGGGAGGTTCACACCCACTATAATCACCTCTGGCAACAGTATGTCACAGTTTCCAGGCAGTGTGGAAAGCAAAGGGGAGAAAACAGGAAGAAACTACTCATAGTGAACTTGTGTTTGCTGTTGGCATGTTGAATTTCCAAACAAGCCGTTTACTGAATTGGTAGCAGCCGTGCCATGTGTAACCTGGCTCATTTAAAACCACAGGCATTGGTGGGACATCTGGCAGAAAACCACAACAAATATTTTGAGGAATGAACTTTAGCAGCACCTTGTTACGGGGCAGATTGTTTGTTCTGAAAGGTACTCACAGCCAAAGTTCCAAGATGCTCTGTAAAGTCTACACATAGTAAATTTTTGAACTTATTAAATGACATCCCTTACTCCCTTAGTACTTACTACTACTACTTTCCTGAGTAATTTATTTTTTGGCTTGTTTTTCGGAGTAATTATTTCTGCTTTTCTGACTAATTCATTTTTTGGTTTGTTTTTCGGAGTAATTTTTTGTTCTGTTTTTCAGAGTAATTTATTTTTATAGTTGGTTTTTCGGAGTAATTTTTTCCTGATTTTCTGAAATTTTTTTTTTTTCATTTTTTCTTTTAGTAAAGTAACAGTTTAGAGAGCATTTGAGAGCTCGATTTAACAGAAACAAACATGAAACGGCTTTTTTAAGTTTTCAATTCAAGTTTACTTTGATCTGTTTAAGGACATTGGGAGATAGTCCTGTCTTTAAGTCATATAGATGGTATTATCATTAGTTTGTCGTCCTTAATTTGACCCGGTACGGTAGATAGTTGAAGATGGGGCGATTATGTGGGACAGGAGTCCACCCATAAAGGTCCAATGGGAGTCACTTGCAGGTTGGAGGTCTCACGGGAGTTCAGAAATAATTTGATAAATCAGAAAAAAAATGAGTCCGAAAAACAGAAAAAAATTATTCAAAAAACAAACAAACCAAAAAATAAATTACTCAGAAAAACCAGAGTATTTTTATTTTTTTTTTTCAAGTGAATGCAATACGCTTCCGTACCTTACACTTTCATCACTCACACCTACGATAGCATATTAGGGCCACTGTAGGTACAAATAAAGAAATTGTGGAGCTGGGGAAGTGGGGTAATATTCTGAAGAACAATTACTGAGATTAAAGTGGTAATTATCGTACGCATATTGGGCCTATTCAAAAGAAAACAACAATCTTTTTTTTTTTTTTTTAAACCTACAGTGGCCCTCATACATCGTAAGACATCTCCACTGACTGAATATGGTATATTTTCTTTGCTCAGTCACTGACCCCTGACATGACCCCTGACATGACCCCTGACATGAAGCAAACATCTGAAATGTTTTAAGTGATGCAGGAGGACATGGTCATGGAAATAAATACCTGTCATACAGAAGCAGGAACGGATCTCTCCTCTGAGCAGCGGCTCAAGCCATTTCCTCTTCTGCTCCTCACTGCCAAACATGTGGAGCACCTCCATATTTCCTGTGTCTGAGAAACATCACACCACATACTGGATCTCTTCTTGGATATCATGAGCTAAATTTAGAAAATATCATGTTGTTTTAGCTTGGCTGACTAAGAATACATTAAAAGGCCAATCAGGGGAATTTAAACCCCCAAAAATACATAGTTATTATGATAAACGCAAGGCTGAAAATTTGACATTTGGAGAGGATTTTACCCAACTATGGGGGGACGAATCTAATCCATGTTGTATATAAAAAGTGCAAGGTAAATTTTTAAGTATAGTGATGTCACCCAGAAAAATCTAAATTATGTCAACATGTAGGATGTTTTACCAGGAGCCTGGCAGTTGAAGACCTCAGGGGCAAAGAGGCAGCGTCCAGTTTCCTCTGCAATGTAAGCATAGTCCAACTGACTGAGACCACTGACTGCAGGCAGGAACAAGTTCCACAGTCCTGCCTCTCTGGCTTTCACCTGGACACACAAAGAGCATGATATTATACAGTGACTGTATGTGTTATTTCAAAGCAAATGCTAGAGATGACAAGCAGAGCTCAAGAAAGTTGGAGCGGATCAGCACAGGCACAAAGAACAGTATTTTGTGTTGAATTTAAACTCTTAATGATGGATTGCAGTGTGTGGCTGACTCAGAAGGGTGGTGCACCCTTTAAACTAGATTTAAATAAACTTGGCGCTTGAACCTGCTGGATAGATATTGCAGTAACACCTTTTGGCAGTGTCATTATGACTTTTCTTTTGATCTCTAAGTCATTGTGTTTTAATTTACTGCACTGTTATATGTTGTTTGATTGGATTGTTTGTGTCGTATCCATAGTAGAGACGATATTATCAGCAGATATTGGCCGATTGCAGACATATTGGTATCATATCTGCACCGGTGTATATGTTATCTTATATGTGCTGATATGAATATATGAGGAATATAATGAATATCAATACTGTGGCAAGCAGCACAGACACACAGTGCAGTAAGAGAGAAGAAGGAGCTCTCAGAAACGTCAAATAGAATTGGTTGACAATGAATGCATGTTAAATTACTTAACATGTTAAATAGTATTTAACCTAAATATTATTGGTTTAAGAAAGCAGCCTTCTGAGTACCTTTGAATAGTCAGTGCATAATTGCTGCACTATCCACATAGAAAAGCTCTATTCTAAAAACATTCACTATATCAGCCAGCAGTGGAACTTTCCCCTCTTAAAATCGGTAACGGTTTCCAAGATCCTATCTTGGCTGGACTCTAATTGACGGAGGTAACTTGGATAGGACTCTGTTAAAGAAGAAATGTGACCAAAGGTTAAAAAAAAAAAAAAAGACTTATTTTTTTGACATACCTTTAAATCTTCTATTATTTGGGGCGTATGCCACCTCTGTGGAGACTGAGTGTTTTTGGAGTAGTACTCTGCAACTTCCTGGAGAGAAAAAGTATTTATTATTTTAGTATTGTCAATAATAATCCATTTTCACTTCTGCACTCTCTTCAACCTATATCATAAATAAAGACATTTAGAAATATTTCTCCTACTTAACCGTGTGTTAATGTTTGTTATGTCTGCATCTATTTTTAAAGGAGAAATAAATGTGCTGTTAAATCTGTGGCTCTGTTGTTTTAACAAGATTTGCAATGGCATCTCTTCCCATCACACTGCTGCACTGTATTAAGACTGCTATGATGCGCAGCCAATGGTGATGGTTCTGTGTGCAACATAATTTGTGTAATCAATAGACTCCTTGTTCTCCCGCACTAATGAATTAGTCCTGTTTGCATGAATGAACTGGTGTGCTCTGTCAGGTCCTTTCATATGCAAGTTAAAAGTCCATCTGGGAAAACAAATCTCGCTTCTGTTCTTGGCAGCTCTTGGAACTGACCTCCTCAGCAGGAAACACGTATTGTTTCATGAAGTCTTTGACCTGCTGGCGAACAGCCTGACCTTTAGCTGTCTGAAGGAACAGATTACCTTCTGTAGGGCCTGTGTCAGACCTGGCCAGAAACACATCACACGTTAGAAAGCACACAGTTAATATCGGAAGCAGCAGCTGGATGCCAAATTCCAACTGATGCTGGCTTAAGTTTAGTCAGCAGGTGGAATCAATCTGTTATACAACAATAACACTGAACTTAGACAATATTCTACTGGTAAATTGGACTGTCTAATGCGGATTATATCAAATTCTATTAATGAGTAGTACTAAAATTAATACTTAATAAACAGTCTATGATATACTTCAACGTTTATCAAACTCAATGGTTGTCTGTGAAAACTTATGCATAAAATGACACCAACAGAGTAGGTATGAGTCAGGTAGCTATTTACAGCATCCAGCATCTTTTCATAGCATTTGTTGTGTCACTGTATTGATCAACAACCCCGTGTCTTTTCTTACGTATCTCTAGTAGCCATAACTGCAACCGACCTCTGTGCAAGCTCCAAGGCAAGCTTAGCCAATGGCTCCACACACTGGCTGAACTCGGCTGCATTGGGAGCACTGGCGTTACCCAGTAGGTGGCGTGCATAGATCCCCTGACACACAAATACAGGGAATGAGCAAGAGTGATTAATATTAGATTAAAATCTACCCAGGCCTGTCTGGGTCCATTTGTAGTAAAGAAGACTACAACAATTCATTTCTAGGCATTGTAAGTATCTCAACAATGTAATACCACAGTTAGAATTTCTAAATTATATTTCACAACAGCTCTATATTTTTTAAACTGTGATGTGTACATATCTAAAAAAGGCAAATAGGGATCAAATTTAAGCAGAACTTAGTTACCAACCTGGGCAATTCCTGCCATTTTAAAGATAGACAGGGCCAGATAGAAATTCAGTGATGGCAAAGCAGATGGGATCCCCCGGCACTGGCAATAAATGGAGATCAGGTCAGCCACAGTTGGGATACCTCATTGGTTGGAGAGACAAGGAGAACAGAAAAGTTACAATAAGTAACAATTAATGGAACAGATACAAAACATGTTACAACACAGAATGTCCATCTATTTGAGACATTGTATATACCCGTTATGCTGTTCTGGGTTGTTTTTTTTTGTTCGTTATCATTACCTTCTATTCCTTTCAAGCTGCCTATTGTGCTGATGACGTTGAAGGTCGTAGGCCAGAAGTGGTGCATGAGGAAGTAGGCCAAGTCTGCCAAGGGCTGCCCAGTGGTAGACAGCTCCCAGTCCAACACTGCTATCACACGTGCCTGTTGGCATCGAACACACTTCGTAAAAAATGACAGCCAAATGAAGCAGATAGGTAAAAAATACTTGTTTAAGGGTTGTACCTCAGTTGGATGGAATATCAAGTTGTCAAATCGGAAATCTCCGTGGACAAGTGTGACCTCGTTATCACTGGCTGGCAAATTCTTCATCAACCAATCAGACAGTTCATTCATGGCTGGAATGTCTCTGTGGGCTGCTGCGTCGTACTGCTTCGTCCAGGTGGAAACCTTTAGAGACGGAAATGTCACAACTGTAACTCCTTTTTCCAGAGAATATGTATAAAGTTATCTATTGAGTACTATACAGTGTCGTATCTCACTTGTCTCTTGCAGTAGCCTGATCCTTTTCCATACCCTTCAAGGTTCAGTGATGCCAGGTCCAGTGAATGTAGCTTGGCCAACACCTCCACAGCTGCCACATAGAGAGCTGTTCTCTCTGCTGGACTCACTCCAGGGAGACGTTGATCACTGAATATACGCCCCTGCTCAATAGCGATAGATAAGCAAGAGTATCAATATCAGTGTGAACAATATGTATCTTTTCTTCTCACGATAGATGACCATTATATGACAATAGAGTACATAACAGAAACCTGGACATCAATTGGGTGTGTGAAATCACCGTGTGCTAGCAAGCAAACACATGCGAGTCCAAATTTCATCTTTTATCTTCCGAATATAGAGTAAAGGTCAAGCAAAACAGCAACTTCACACTCTTGTGATATTTGGTAACAGAGACGTACCTTCACATGCTCCATCAAGTAGAACTCTGTTCCAATAACTTCAGAATCAGTGCAGTGCAAGAAAGGCTGAGGTACAGGGAAGCCAGTAGGGAACAGGGCCTTCTGCACCCGGTACTCCCTGTCCACCTGCAAACAGAGATCCACCCTTTTCTACTAAAACAATCCCCCATAATGTACACCTTAAAATATATCACCTTTTTTTTTTTTCATAGGTCCCATAGTTAATAATAATTTCCTTCACAGATACAGATATGCAATTGTGAAACCATAGGAAGCTTCTTGAAAGGGACTATGTATTTTTCAGTATCCCTACCTTTAAATGCATGTGATCTGTCAGTCATTAAGCATAAGAAACATCTGCTGCAACAGTACTGATGAACAATGTTTAATACAATGTGTCCCCCTGCTGCCATGTCTACACCTTATATATATATATATACTGTCAATGGGCTAGCAGTGCTGCAAACAAATTCCCGTGCAAAAAAACTATGACCAAAGTTATTAGTTAGTCAAACTTTACCTTGTGAGCCCCTGGCAGCAGCTCACCTGGGGGTTTCTTCCTGAGAACAAAGCTGTTTGACGGTGTTTGGATTAGGAAGGTCGGGTTTGACTGACCAGTGCTGAAAGGACAACGGGTTAGCATGTTATCAGTTATCTTAAATACCATTACAATATCTTCCAATTGCTCGCTTTACTGGGAAACTGGGAAACAAACCAGCTCTATCTATCTCACCTGTACTGTCTGACAGTGAGTGTGTCATTATTTGACACAAGTGACTTGCCAGACAGGTAAGTTAAAAGTTTGCTAACATTGAATTTATGTTGCTGTCGTACAGGAGTTGTTAGCTCGTCCATGTTTCCGAGTGCATTAAAAATGTCCAGGTGCGTCGCTGAGCCAACTTTAGCAGTGTTGATAGTGGATTAAAAAAAAAAAGAAAAAGATAGTAGCCGGATCGTTTACGGATGCGCACACCGACGCAATATCCGGACAAAGTCGTTATATGTATGGTAATATTTGACTGATATCCAGTCGCTTTAAAAGCAATAAACAGAAATAATTAAACTCTCAGTTCAAATCCTCGAAATAATATTAAAACAATCTTCTAATAACGTAGGAACATTTTACGCTGCTTGTGCTCGTTTTCTACACGGACGTTGTTTACGGTATCACCCACCCAGACAGCTGATTGTAGTTGTGAAGACGTGTACTTTCTGTGCTGGTTGAGCCGTCTACACAGCACACATTTGTATTTTTATTCGTAACCCCACGTTACGTTCACATTGTCTACTGTTAATTGTGTACTTTAGTTCGCCCCGTAATGGCGACAGTCGAGGAGCTGAAGCTGCGGGTGAGAGAGTTGGAAAATGAATTGATAAAGTGTAAGCAGAAGCAGTGTGCCGTGGAGGATGCCCAAAACCAGGAGCTTCACAGACCGAAGATTGACAAAATGAGCGCCGAAGTTGTGGATTCCAACCCATACAGGTGACTATTTTTTATTAAATCTTATTATTTTAGCTTTTGACAGATTTTGTCGCGACCGCCGAGAAGGCTACGCCTTTTGAGTCACTCATCCCATATGGTGGTACTTCATAGACCACAAGCTAATCTCAGCTGTGTTCTCATTGCAGTCGGCTCATGGCTTTAAAGAGAATGGGCATCGTGGATGATTATGAGGTAGGATATTTAAGGGTTGTTCGTTTTTGCCATGCAGCACTTGAGTTTGTGGTTGCTGCTGTATTCCTAACAGAAAAATTATAATAAGGAAATGCAAAAGGTGTGGAAAGAACTGATCTTGTTCTTGAAACTTATATTATTTTATTTAAACTAATACTAATGTATATTTTAGTGCGTTCAAATGCAGGTGTAAAGCTTTTTTTTATATACTGATGGGTACCTTAAAGTTGTTAATTGATTTTTAAAGCCCATATTTGTGCTGTTAATAATAAAAATAAATGATATAAATAAATAAAAATAATAATTTCCACAGATGGCCAAATGTCAGCACTGAAAAATAGATTTTGACCATTATATTTTAAATATCAGTAATTTTTACAGTTATAAATATCTATCAGAGCTCCCCTAAAATGCCCCTAAGCATTGTGTAGGATGGATAATCATCTGCAAACTTTGTTGACAGAAAATCCGGACATTCACAGTCGCAGTGGTTGGTGTCGGAGGAGTTGGGAGTGTGACAGCTGAAATGCTCACTAGATGTGGCATTGGTAAGGTAATACAAACTCTTTTTTGTTTGTTTTTTCTTCTGCATCGCCTTATACCTGTTCATCTTGTTCAGTAGATTGTGTGCCTGTGCTTACCCCAGTCTTGTCTATGCTTGTCACAGTTGCTCCTCTTTGACTATGATAAAGTAGAGCTGGCCAATATGAACAGGCTGTTCTTCCAGCCTCACCAGGCAGGCCTCAGTAAAGTGGAAGCAGCAGAGCACACACTCAGGTACACTGTTGTTTATAGTAATCCACTTTTGCCCCCAAACAGAGACATTTGGTTTCTTTTTTCTCACGTGTTGCTCGATTTACTCAACAGGAACATCAACCCAGATGTGTCATTTGAGACCCATAACTATAACATCACCACAATGGAAAATTTCACACATTTTATGGAGCGCATCAGGTGGGCACTCCTATCCTCCACTTTCTAGTTTTGCTATTCTCTCTCCTCAGTGCTACAGGCCTTTACAGCAAATGATTCTGTGTTTTGTCAGTCATGGGGGGCTGGAAGAAGGGAAGCCCGTGGATTTGCTCCTCAGCTGTGTGGACAACTTTGAGGCCAGAATGGCCATCAATACAGTAAGAGCATCACTGTCACTAAGAGCATCACTGTCACAAAGAGCAGAGCGGTTAAACACTGTGTTTTGTACTTGTTAATCGTGAAGTGTTAATTTTGTCCTGTCCCTCTCAGGCCTGTAATGAACTAGGTCAGATCTGGATGGAGTCTGGTGTCAGTGAGAACGCTGTATCAGGACACATCCAGCTCATCATTCCTGGAGAGACGGCATGCTTCGCTGTACGTCCACACACAATTTGACATTGTTGTTTGCACCAAAAAGATGTTGATCCACCACTGCAACATTCAGAAAGAAAACTATAGTACTTACATTGTAATATGCTTTGTTAGTGCGCTCCTCCTCTGGTGGTGGCAGCCAACATCGATGAGAAGACCCTGAAAAGGGAAGGTGTGTGTGCTGCCAGCCTACCAACAACAATGGGCGTGGTTGCAGGCATCCTTGTGCAAAATGTCCTCAAGTAAGATATTGTTTATAGCCAATTTGGAAACCTAAACGTGTATAGTTATACATATTATATTATGTATACAATGTATGTTAAGTAAAACATTGTTAATTGTATTCCCTCTTTAGGTATCTGTTAAAGTTTGGCACTGTCAGTTATTATCTTGGCTACAATGCCATGCAGGACTTCTTCCCCACCATGGCTATGAAAGCCAACCCCACGTGTAATGACCGCCACTGCAGGAGACAACAAGAGGAGTACAAGGTGTGTGTGCTTGCTTTTTGTATTCAAGTAGTAGAATGTAGGACCGACAAGGCGCTGTGCCAGTTGGGAAAGCTGACTGTGTCTATCTGTGTGAATTTTTCCCTCCAGAAGAAAGAAGCCGAGCGGCCAAAGGTTGAAGTTGTACAGGAAGAGGAGGAGGAGGTTGTACATGAGGACAATGAGTGGGGTGAGCAACAAACAAGTCTTTCAGCTGTCAGATCTGATCAGTTTGCTTAGATTTTCCATTGTACAACATAATACGATATTGCCTTATTTGTATTAACACACACAATTGTGCCGTGCAGGTATCGAACTAGTATCAGAGGTGACTGACGCGGAGTTACAGGCTGCATCAGGCACCGTGCCTGACCTCCCAGAAGGCATCACTGTGGCTTACACCATTCCAGCTGAGGTTAGTATTGTGTAACACAACACAGCTTTGAAGCTTTGGTAGCTTTTACGTGTTTGAGCTCATTAAATTAAAATGCTTATGTGATACATGATTATTGCTGACCTTTTTGTGAAGTTTTTAAATAGTAATAGTAAAGTCAGTTAAATATTTACTAAGACAGATGACCTCAGGCAAGTTTCTAGCCTCCAGTTTTATTTTTATTCCATACTGACCTAAAGACTGACTGGAAGGCAGGTAATCAATCTAAAAATCATGATGCTGTGGAAGGTGGTCAGCAATAATGTAAGGGATATGGATAATTGGCAAAATCGTGAAAAGAAATTCTTTAAATTCTACCATTTTGACACAAATATTTGATAGTGGTTTGTTGACTCAACTAAATTCTGATAGTATTTTGTTTTCTCGTGTTTGAACCAGACTGCACCATGTGGAGACACAGTGGAGGAGACTGAACAAAGCCTAGAAGACTTGATGGCTCAGATGAGAAAGCTGTAGGCAGAAATCTGACGATATATTTCTGCTATTCAGATCAGATATAAGCCTTTTCTCACGTCTATTCCTTTGCTTTCTTTGATAACAAGCATCATCATGAAAAAGCCAACTAATGTCAAATAAACAATTACAGAATTCTTCTGAAGAGGGGAAACGCATGAAAAGTGCTGCTAATGGCATTTCACTCAACACAAAACATGCAAAAAGCAGTCAAATGTCTAATTTGCTGATTTACTGGGAAGGTGTTGTTGTGCACTTGGATTTGCTACAGTTGCTAATGAAAAGTCTGTAAACCTAGAATAATGTCACTGTTAATGCATTAACATGTATCACAATGTGTATTTTTCTACGGTTCTGATTAGTGAATGAGTGTCCCTTACCTTTAATGTATGTGCTCTGTCATTCACTCAGCTTTAAGAAAACATCTACTGCAACAGAACTGATCAACAATGTTTAAGTTGTCTCAATAAAATATTTATTAAATGGAATACAAGCTTCTCAGTATGTTGGATGGGATTTGTTGTTGTCCTGTACAGCTTTTACACCTTTTACAGATTTTACATTAATACATGAATATATAAAAACACTTAAGATACATTGTATGTATTATATTTGGCAATGAAACAGTAGGTTTGGTGTCCCCTTTGGATTGATGTACATTCAGTCAGACAATAAATCATTATTTTATTCGTACTTCAACTTGCACATTCATGTGGTACTATCGTGGTTTAGCAAATCCCTTCAAATCCTTTTTGTAAATGAATAAATAAACAGAAATTTTGTTTTGCATAAGCACACCATGAAATCAGTACCAGAGGTGATGTTTTCTCAGATATGGTCTAGTCTTATTGTAGGAGGACACCTATTACCTTGGGCTCTACATTTTCTACTTATTACTCTTATACTTAATACTGGTAGGTAAACATTATGTAGTGTAAACAAATGGTATCTTAACATATAAAACATACCAATTTTTCACAACATGCACATTTGATTTTAGAGACAGTGGCTTTCTATAATCATTCAGAAAATCTGGAATGTAGAAAACAATCTATTTGAGGTCTGAGAAGTTTGGTAAGAGATAACAGCATGATCAGACTGAAAATGTTTAATAGTTCATATTTCATTTCTGTAAAAGATGCCTGAGAAGCCCCGTTTACTGGATTTTAGGGGTTTCATTTGAAATCAAATTTGTAACCTGTATCCTTAATTCACAAAAATATGAGTTTTGAAAAAGTGCATAGAGTAATATCTACTGTACAATAAAGCATTGAATATGCCTGGTTATTAATCATGTTTTATTGGTTAGGTTATGTCAGACCCTCATGGCATTCCATTCTGTTCCTATTTTGATGATATACAATTTGAGGCATGTAAATAGAAATTAAGTGTTTGAGTCTGAGTTAACACAAGTGTAAACCTGAGTTCCAGGCCATAAAAAAAAATTGATTAATTTAAAGGAAGTTCAAAGTTCCTTATGTTGTAAAATATTTATAAATACTTTTGGCAAATACACAGGTTTCACAGACTAATACGGCAGGTACAGTATATTTGACCATACCCTAAACTTCCAACAGTCACAGTGTGATGACCAGGATTGTTCCCTTTTTGATAAAACCATGGGGATCTGATGTTTTTATTATTCTATGGTAGTTAGAGCTGTCAAAACAGCTTTTATTGTTCTGTGGCACTAAGTGGTTGAACAGAGTCACCTCGGGGCATGTGGGACGGCAGCAGGTCCCCTCAGACTAAATGTGTCCCCACTGGAGGAGTGGCGGGACAGGGCGTTTCCACACACCAACGATGGCTCTGCCTCCTTTATCTCCATTGCACGTTTGTAAAGCTCTGCTGCCCTTTCGAAGTCACCTTCTTCGTAGCTATTCACAAAAGGACCAAAAAATAATTGTAATACAACATTAATGATTAATCTTCTGATTAGCCAAATGTTGAATGTAACCTCTACTACTGTACCTTAGCACAGCCAGGTTTTTTAGGGTCTCTCCGACACGTGGATGTGAGCGCCCCAAACTATCCTCATACACTTTCAGCGCTCGTTCATAAAGAGGCAAGGCTTCACTGTGCTTCTTCTGCCAAAGACAAAGAAAATTACAGTTAACTGTGCTCTATAGAACCTAAAATACAGCTACACATGCTCATAATAATCAAATAAAAAATATATATATACGTAAGTATGCAAGTTGGGATTAGGTTTTGATTATGTACAGACTGAATAAAGTATGATGAGCATTCTCACTAGTTGGCAGTAGATTACAGCCAGATTGACCAGAGCTGTGGCCACACTGGGGTGTTTGGGCCCAAAACTTTTTTCCCTGATTTCCAGAGACAGCTCATACAGCGGCACTGCCTTTTCCAGCTTCCCCTGTAAAACACACACATGCTCAAGTCAGATTCTCAGCCAAACACAAAATGAGTCGAATCTTCAACAGACAGAATATTAAAGTTTCAGTGTCAACAGGGACACTTGTCTCACTCTGCGTTTATAGAGCATGGCCAGGTGTTTGAGTGTGTATGCCAGCGAGGGGTGGTCCGGGGACAAGGCCTTCTTGCGGATGTCTAGCGCCCTCTCATACATGTCCTCAGCTGTCTCATACTCCCTCCTCTCGGTGTGCAGTGCAGCCAGGTTGTTCAGTGACTGAGCGCAGTCTGGGTGATCTGGACCGAGGACACGTTGACGCATCTCCAGAGAGCGGGTCAAGAACATCTTGGCAGCACTAGTGAGGGCCAAGAGAGGGATTTTGGTAGACATAAAAATGACTAAAGAAACAAAAACAGAGTGCAGAATGTGTAACATGTCTTCCTTTGTGTGCATGCCAGCTATAACATGTGTGCCTTACTCCAGGTTGTTTTGGAGGTAGTACAGGACGCCCAGTTCATTGAGTGTTTTGGCACAGTCTGCAGAGTCTTTTCCCAGGGTCAGCTCTTCCAGCTGTAGGGCTCTGCGTCTCAGCAAAGTGAAGCCATACTGAAGGGTGGATTAGACAAAATGCATGTGCAACTGATTGATGACTGATTAAGTGAGTATGACAAAGCATGTGGGTATCTGTGCTTGCAACATTCTTACCATATGACCTTTCTGGCGAGCAGTCTTCTGACGAATCTTCACTGACATCTTCCCAAGTTTCTCTGCTTGTTCATACCTGATTGTAAAATTGCCAGGTGTAAGCCATTAAAGATGTTTTCTAAATGGAATCCTGCACTGACAGTGTCACTGACTGTTTTAGTTACTCTTAACTTTTAATAGGATCATAAGATTATCAACACAGATGGGGATGCCTCTTTGTACAACACATCGTTTGGCAGGAACAACAAATAAACTATATTACATGAACAACCATTATAAATCATGTTAAGCATATCAACACCAAGAGGGAACCATTTACTTGTTTTGTTTCTGGTACAGCATGGCGAGTGACTCCAGCTCGCGTGCCACGCTGACATGCTCAGCTCCGTAGGCGTTCTCACTTATCTCCAGGGCCTGCTTGTACAGCTGCTCAGCATTGCCATACTTCTTCCACTGAACATAAACCCCGGCCAGCTGGTGCAGGGAGCGAGCGACGCTGGGATGGTCCGGGTCCAAGGCTGTCTCCCTAATCTCAAGGGACCTCTGCAAGGGGGCTACAGCCTAGACAACATAATCAGATTCATATGCAATTGTCAATATGTGCACTTTCCTAGGAGAGAACACGGTAAACATAAGGGCACTTAATAAACCTATGTAAACAAAATAAGAAAACTACCATATAAGGTAAAGCAGAAAAGTAATGTGTGGGGAACAATAAACATGTTTTTTTAGTTATTTCAAAGCTAATACTAAAATATTGTAACCATGTACACTACCTGACTAGGGAGACCAAGGTCTTTGAGGAAACGTCCTAGGGTCTCATACAGGTTTGCCAGCTTGGTCATGCCATCTTCGCTCTCACAGCTCTTCTCATAGTGTTTCAGGGACTCAAAGTACTCAGTGGCCATGGAGCTTTTGTCTTTGCCCACATACTGCCAATAGGCTAGTAGCTCAGAGAAGTGACCCCTAGAAAAACATATATCTGTAAGACTATACCTGAATAATTGTGGCAGGATTTGTAATATCAGCTTGTGTGTATGCATATTTTATACCTCTTGTAGAGGTTTTGGGAGACAAACAGGTTCAGGAGGCTAAGCTGTAGTTTAGTCCTATCCTCCTGTTGTTGTAGAAGCCAGGGCAGCTCATCTGCAACACGCCAAGTCACACGGTCCTGGCTACACACACACAAACAATGAAATGAGTTGAACTAACAGAATAATGTGAGTTGTGCTGTATGAGGAGAAGATGACTTCTCTTAAAACACCTGAGTTGCTGACTGAAGTAATGTATGAGTTTCTCTCTGTAAGCAGCAGAGCTGCTTCCTCCGCCCAGAAACTCCAACCTCACAGCTTCCCAAGCCTGAAAGACAAACGCACATAAAAAACAAAAACATATGACAAAACAAATGATCTATTCATACAGTTTCTGTCCCATGAATACCATTTTTTACGCATTTTTTAATGACTTTGTGCTCTATTATATTCTGCTGGCCAAAGTCTGATTACCTGCAGGTGCTGAAACCTGATGAGCCCACAACGGAGAGTTACAATGCAGAGTCTGTTCAGACGGTAAAGCAGAGAGGACAGGACAGGAAACTCCACATCTGGGAAATGATCTAGCACCTCTGATTCGCTCACTCCATTATGGCTGGCACATACAAGGCACAGAATCTAAGCAGAGAGAAAAAACACAAGCACTTATTCCTCTGCCACAAAGAAAGCACAATGTAAAGAAAAAAAACAAATCTTATGTGAATGACACACTTTACCATTTAAGATTAATTAAATAATGATGAGAAAAGAGACGTTTTTGTTATTTTGTCTGGACATATATCACCTCTCTCATAATGTGTCGCTCTCTGTCTGTGTTGAGGGAGTTCAGCGTTATCTTGAGCGCCTGGCGGTAGAGTGACATGGTGTCCTGACACTGTAGACACTGCTCCAGGCTCTTCTCCAGTGACCAACATGATATACTGCTGGGCAGTAACAAAACACGGCAAAATCAACAAAAATTTTAACATATGTACCCAGACATTCAGAGAAGTCAACAATAAACTTAAGAAAAGTGAACTGCTTTTAAGCCAAATTGTTTAAGAACATTATGGAACAAGATTTTAGAAATGTTTTTTTTTATGTTTTAATTGTCTAAATGTGAGTGAGAGTTTGAAGCTGTTAGCTGCTGCTGCTGCACTTCCCAGCTGCCATTGCAGCCAGTTGCTGCCACCTTTGGTGCCACTGCAAGCTACTGTAAATAATGGATGCTGAATTACACAAGAAGCTAAAGCTGAACGCTGCAAGAAATTACTGAAGCAATGCTGAAAATGGCTGAAAAACCAGTTGTCCATTGAAATGCAGTGCTTTGAAAACTTGGAAGCTGAAATGTAAAACTGGAGCTGGGAACTAAAGCGCATTAGCTGAAGAAGCAGAAGTGATGAAAAAAAAAAAAAACTAAATTAAACAGAGCTTTAGACCTATAAAGCAGACATATAAACACATTTAAAAAGGTATAACAGTTTGCAAAAAATGCTTTTCAACTTATACATATTTATATATACATATATACCTGAGCCTGTGACCAGACCATACTGGATGGGAAGAAAAGAGTATTTATTTAATACATTTAGAATTGTGAAACCAAGGGTGGCTAACCTGATGATCATCCTTGCCAGTAGTGTAACATACAATGCATTGCAAGTTGATGCAGAGCGACAGTGCCTTTCCAGCTTCTTCTCCTGAAATAAAGAAATAACATTTAAGTGTGGCATTCTCACAAAAAACATACCCCTGCTAACGATTCCAAATGTCTTTCCACACTTTCAAATCTCTTCAGAGTTTTTACAAAAAGAGGGATGATAACTGACCTCGTCCTTGGTAAATTTGAGATCCATGCTCTGGCACTCTGCATTAACAAGGCTTCTGACCTCTCTGGGACTCAGTGGGTCTAAGTGGAGTGTGGGCCACAACCTTGTGGGCCAACAGACATGGTCAGTGAATTATAAATGGCAATTTTCTACAGGACCATATTTAGAAATATTTACAACTGCATGGCAAATGCATGGTAATTCACACAGAGTGTCTCACCTCCAAGCTTGAGGACACGTCTCTACATTGACAGACACCACCACTCTGACATTAACAGGGAGTGGGTCAATGAGCCACTTCATGTGTCTTTCTGCTTGCTGAAAAAAAGGAGAAAAGTAGTAGTAGTTTTATTCTGAATTATTCTAAAGGCAAAAGTAAAGTAAAGTGTTAAGTAAATGTTTAATTTGGGTTAAAAAAAGAGAGGAGGTATACTTGTATTTGGTCAATGGAGTCAATGATGATGATGATGTTTCCTTGATGCCGTGCTGATAGTCTTTCAAGCCAGCGGGGAAACTCCTCCAAGATCTTACTGGGCTCCATGGACAAGCCAGAAATGGACCAGAAGTGCTGCAGCAGCTATGTGACCACAGACAGACAGAAAAGTAAGACTGAGTGTCTTTACTGGAAGTAAGCCTATGGAAGCGCTAATAAGAGACACCCCCTTACTTTGACTGTGAGGCGTTTGATAATGAGAACTGGCTCTGAGCTTGTAGAAAGTGGCCGACCGACGAAATGATAAAGGAACAAGGTGTTCGGGGACTGCTTCTGCTGCTGCTCAATCCTGTAAAAAACAAACAAAAAAAACATACAAAATGTCCTGTACCATGATGACACCCCTGCTTAGAGTATGCCTGACAGCAACATATACAGAAAAAAAATTATAAGGATATAAGGATGCAACTTTAACAAAGTGGGACTTATGAAGTTCTTAGGGTCCATCGAGGGGGTCGATGTGGA